TGATTTGCAATGTTTCACATTTAAATCTTGTAAGAAAATTGTATTTCCAGAATATTTTAATCAAATGATTAAGTAAAGAAATGGCAACTTTTAAAATATATTTTAAACTTAAAATTAAAAAAATCAAACAGTTGTAATTCACCTTATACCTTAACATTATAAAAAGGCAATAATGAAAGTGATATTTGTTATGTTAGATAAGAACCATGAGCTAAATAAGCCAGCGTTAAAAGATTTTTAAATGTGATTTAAAATTCTGATGCGTAAAAATCTAAAATGCATTATTCTTGTTTACAATTTTTTTAAGGTCTTCATATACATACATTACTTGGAAGCCGACACTTAATCAGTTACATTCAATTTTCTTTTCTGTTTGTGAGGTCAGTCTAAGTCGTCAAAATCGTCATTCAATTCAAATTTAGAATTTTGATTATTTTTCGAAACTAAATGGTAAACAATTAAAATTTACTTTCACTCGCCACATTTTTTTTTGATTTATTTTTCTATATTTCCATATTTTATTTTTGCGCCTCTTATCTTTTATACATTGTTGAGTCCAGCGGAAAAATATATCTACGTATGTACGTACATACCTAATTAAAATGAAAATAAAACAACAGTGAAGCAGAAAAAAAAATATTATTAAAAAAAACCGCTTGCTTATATTACAAAAAAAATATGAACTCATTTTTCACTGATAAACCACACACATAAATATTGCGAAGCTTGAAAAAATTAAAATACAAAAAAACAAAACAAACAAAAATAAATAAGAAAAGTCGCGAAACAGATATGCACTTAAGATACAACTGTCATTTTTAGCAACGAAATGATGAATTTTCGCAATCATTGAATTTTAGTTTTAATACCAATTTGGAAAAATGAAAATTAATTGAGAGCCTCATGTTTTAATCATTTTAAATTTAAAGCCAACAAGGGTTTAAGATTTTTTTCTTTCTTTAAATTTTTTGTTTTGAATATTTCTTTTTGTGACGGTTTTTTACTAAATTATTAATTTATGAGACTTAAATTGAAAATTTCAGATTAATTATAATTTATGAAATTACAGCAAGGCCGCGATTATTTGAAACCATTGTCCTCCGAAGCTATTAAACTTTCTGAAAATTCTATTATGAGGCGAAATACTTTTCAGTCTACTTCTTAATAATTACGAAACTTTTCAATATTTATTTTAAATTTAATTCAACTCAATGATTTTGTTTATTAGAAGAATTATTTAAAATTTTATCCTTGTTCTCAGTATAAATGCGGCTTCTTTTCAACTGGAAACATAACAAATCAACTTGACTGTATCCATTATTTTACGAGGGTCTTTATTTCAAGGGTCTCACTCAAATATTAGGTGAATTTAATATAAAATAATACATGGCAATTGCTCTGGAAAATAAATATTTAATTTAAAATATATTTTAAAAATATGACCTATTTAATTGCAAAAGTCCTGTAGTCCGTGCTTAAATGTTATAGTTTTGAAGTTACGTTACGTAGTCGGATATTTATTTCTAATTTAGAGAATAAAAAGATGATGTTTAAAATATACTTTGGGGCCCGACTGAAAACTGAGTTCATAAAATTTTACATTTTACAAATGAAATGCAAATAACCTTAAGTGATTAAATGTAGCAAGATTTCTTGTAATAAGATTATTTTCTAATTTCTTGCTATTTTTTTCAATAATTTAAGAGTAATTTTAAAAACATATTTTCAGTTTAGTTTCTTACAAAAAATTATGGTAATTTATAAATTTCTTACTTGTAGAATTGGGTGAATTACTTTACAACTCATTCATAAATATTAAATAAAAAAAAATATTTTTAAATTTATTTGTTAATGAGCTGAAATCATTGGTTGGTTGACTGAATTGTAAAAGTTCTAGAATTACAAAATTATCTTTGGATAAAAGATGACTAAATAAATTTCGAAACAAACACTTGTATATCGAATTAAAAATTTACATAAGTAAAACATTTATATACATATGTATGTATACAAAATATGTATGCTTATGTAAAAATTTTATGTATATTTTCTTTAACATTTTTGATATTTTAACATTGTCGCAAAGCAAGTGTAAATCCATTCTTAATTCGACACACTTAATTTAATAATTAAAAGGCAAAGTGTAAAAAGAAAATAAAAAATTCAATTTTGTGAGTTTGAAATGCATGTTGTATGGAAGAAGAATTCATGTAACATTTTTTGGACAAGTAAGACTGATTTAGTGGTCTCGGTACAATACAAACCATAATGATTACAAAACTAGTAGAATTATTATAATGAGACATAAAAATTTTGATCAGTCAAGGCTCTCAATATATATATATATATATAGCACTGTTTAAACTTATCATAGAGCTAAGGAAGCGTATCAAGACTATATTTCAAAATATAACTGCACAAGCTGGAAATATCAGACCCTTTTGTGCTGTTTCTCCAAGGGTAGTGACGAAAATACTATACACAACCTCTGTGACTATCCAGTACTCGTACTATCTAGTGAATTGTTTCGAATAGAGTTTCTTCGTTATTGCGGAACTGTTTTCCAATTCCCTTAAGGATATCAAGTAGTCAAGAGGGAGAAAGTTCCCTTGCCTCTATTCGGTTCCTGTAAGAATCTTAATTATGCATAAGATTATATAATTCAAAAAAGAAAGGTTAAGTTTACAAATTAATCTAACCTTTTATTTTAAAAAAATTTCGTAAAATTTTCTGATTTATAAAAATCTAAAATTCTATGAAAGCTGTAAGAAATCGCTACAATTTTAATCTGAGTGAATAGATAATTTTTATCTGTTTTCAAAGATCTTTCTGCAGAATGGCGACAATACATGAATATTTACTAATTTACATACTTCTCATAAAATGTTTCTGAAGAAGCTAATTTTTGAAATTTTTATTGCTTTATAAAATATCAACAGAAATATGAGTTCAAGTGGTTAAATATTGACATAAAGTAGTTGAAAACATGCTTCAATATTAACAGTATAATGTAAAATACTGTAAATGTATTTTAAGATGCGCTCATAATATATACATAGATGAAATTTCTATCAAAAACAAATTTTATAAATTTTCTCATTGGTAAAAGTTATAAAATATCTAAGAATTAAAATATTTTGAGAAATTTGTAACTCTAATTAAAAGTGTTTAATACAGCAGCATTGCAGTACACTTAAAGTGTATGATTTTCATACAAGAAAAAAAAAATAATAAAGTAAAAGTATCTCACATTCAGAAAGTATAAATTGATTTCGCTCATCAAACCCTTGATTTTCATTTATTTAAAAGCAAAACAGCTTATTAATTTTAGAAAAATTTCATTCCAAGCCCTCATAATCTTATTAAAATTCTAAATATGTGTATAAATTATGAAGTTTTAAATTTAACAATAAACATTTAATTCCCGAATATTCAATTAAAAATTTCACTGTAATTTTACTTAAAACAAACTTTTTAAAGTGTTCCCTTTAATTCAACATTTATGAGGAAATTCCAAGTGGAATAAGTGATTTTACTTTTTAAATTAAATGTATTTGTGTGATTCAATTAAATCAATTGAAAATTTCGCATTATTTTTCATTTCAAAAAGAGTTTGCATTTCAAAAATAGCATTTTTATTTTTATGTTTTTGCGAAAAGTATAAATTTAATACTTATTGGACTTCATAAATAATTTTAAAAGGAATATTTTACAAGGGAAAAGAACAAGAAAAAATTTTAATAATAGATTTTAATTACAAAATACAATTAAGACGGTTTTATTTTGGTAATTATTAAAACAACTACTTGAAAAAAAATATGATTTCAAATTTCAAAAACGCATAATAAATTTACAAAATCCTTTTATAAACCTTTTACGATTATATTAAAATACTAAATTAATGCTATCGGAATTTGTATCATGGAATTAGTTATTCTTCTCATATTGACATAGCTTAAAATTTAAACTTCTTCTCTGCACTATGTTCAGTTAAGAACATAGGGCAGCGACGAAGTTTATTTTTTAATAAAACAGCAGAATAAAAATTAATGAAAAATAAATTGATTGTCGATCAAACCCATATTTTTTTTAACGCAAATTAAGTCCAGCGGTTGTATTTATAATTTAAGATCTAAATAATGAAAAAAATCTATATAGCCAGCTATTGACATGCGGTCAAACGCTCTTAATATCAACCTGGTTTAATAGTAAAATCCGGTCGTCCTTACAATATTTTTGAACAGAAAAAATCTTCATATTTGTTATCGCATATAGATTAGAAATAACATACTTTAAAGAAAATCCTCGCGAAAATCACGAAAATCTCGATATGAAAATAAATAATCGCCATCAATCTCAAATGCTTGGTTGTTTGTGGCATTCATTCTGATGGTCTTTGTTTTTCTTGTGTTTATTTGTAGGCCAACTTCTGCTGCGCAGTTCTTTAACTTCTCTAATTTTTGCTTCATATTTTCATATGTGTGTGTGAGGAGGCATATCATCCGCATACTTAAGATTATCCAGGGTGTTGAAGATATTCCAGTTAATCCCATTTCTGATTTCATTTGTTTTCCTCATAATTTCATCTATAACAATGTTGAAGAGGACTGGCGAAAGGAGACAACCCTGCCTAACTCCCCGCCCCGCATTGTCGTTATGGGCTCACTTAGTCTTCCCTTGTGAAGAATCTGAGTCTCTGCATTTTCATACATCGCCTTGATAATTCTAGTTCTAACCTTGATAATTTGTGTGAATACAATAATTTAAAATAAATATTTTATGAACTTTTTAAATAAATACCACCATCAATAAAAAAATTATTTCACTTTATCCAAAACTTGGTTATAATTTTTACATAGTTTGCATTTATCCGAGCATTTTATTTTTAAAATCGCAAATTTATGATCTTAAAGTAATAATTACCAAAAAGTAATTGTATACTGGTATAGTGGTGGAAGTAGACTGACAAATAAAATTATAAATACTGTCACATTTCTTACATCTTACTGTTACTGTTGATTCTAAAAAAGTTCGATAAGTCACTTGCATACTGTAATTTTGCATACTTTCGGGGTAATAATCCGAAAGAGGCAGAAGTTATAAAGTTATTAAAAAAACATTTATGGATGTCTTGAACCGATTTCTAGTTTTCTCCAAAAAAAGTGAAATTTGGAGAAATTAAGAGTTTAAATTTTTTCGAAATTAGATTTTTTATCTAGGCTAGATCTTCAATAATCTGAGATGGACGTGAGTGTAAGAGAAGCATTACTCCGGAAATTAGTAAAAAGCTGACGAAATTTTTCAAAAATTTTTATTATTACTGAAAATTTATACAAATCCAAAAATGAGGCTGTATTATCATTTTAATATAATAAGTGAGATTACCAATAAATATTCGGAAATTCGAAATAATCGCATTTAAGTAGAACAAATATTCTTCGTATATTAATTTAGTTTATTCGTAATAACTGTTTCAGTATTTATTGCCAAATGTATTTCGGGAAGTCTTAAGACAAGTTAGAACAATAGATAAACACTTAACTTAACAATACTTCATTGTTATTTGCAATTTAATTGAACGATACTTAAACATTATTATTATAGTATTGTGATAAAGATTCTACATGGTTATACATAGTTTTTGCATAAATAGAGAATTTAGCTGTAGGTTACAATTTTCTGCTATTTTAGGCAATGTTTCTATAAATCAATTTAAATATGAGAAAATATAGTTTTCTATAATACCATGATATGCCCAAGGGAATTTATGGCTTTAAATCACAACCTTGTTAAATTTTAATATTTTTAAAATTCATTTTATAAGAATTTTTAGGATAACTGTGTGAATTTTTCTAAGTATCTCAGAAGTTAGAGAACAAAAAGAAGAAAAATTTTAATAACATATTTAAACAATTTGCTTAAATACGCACAAACAATGAAATCACAACAATATAAAACAGGTGTTACCTATAAAATATCAAGAATGAAATATTAGGTAAAATTCTCATTCTAAGTCGGCCATCGCCTTTTTCTTTGACTCTATTCAGTATCCAGTTGGCTCTTAGTTCTATTATTTTAATGTTATTCTACATTATAAAATTAAAATAAAAGCATTCTTTCATATTCATAAATCTGTAATAAATTTAATACTTCAAAACTTTTTATTTCTCATACATATTTCGTATTTCTGTTTCTTATCTTGTCGATTAGATTATTTCATACTGTTCACATATAAAAATTCTTTATTTATAATGAATAAAATTTAATACACAATAAAATTGTATTAAGTTTTAAAATTTCTTTGGATTTTCTCTCAATATAATTTTTTTTTCTTTATTAATAAATTTTCATTCAAATTTTATTCATATAGCGTTTAAATACTTTCACAATTGGTGTTAATTGAACTCTTTGAAAAATTTGTCTTTTATTATTATGATTCCTGGTTGTATGTCACGTCTTTGGTCTTAAGGTCATCTATTCAGTAATTTAGAAAAGAATTAATTGACAATTGAAAAAAAAAAGTATATTACTACCATATTCATTAAAAAAATAAATTTAGAAATAACAAAAATTCAATTCATTAAATGATTCATTCAACTCAAATTTTTTTTTGTAGAAATTTAATACCAAAAACACACACACTATTATTATGAAACACACTAATCTATACACACTTATAAGCAGGCAAAAACATTGAAATAAGATCGAGCGTGCCGTTTAATACCATAAAACACGCGTACATATGTACTTACTCACACCCGTAATGGAATACAATTATAAAAGGAGGAAAAATTAAATACGTGTGTACGTATTTAATTACTAAAAAAAACTACGTGTTAATAGTTAAGAAAATTCTATAATGTCGTATTCATTCTGTTCTGTCATTTAAAAATTTAGGTGGCCCAAAAAACAATGAATTTGAGAAAACTTATAGTTTACTTTAGGGCACATAACTAAAATCAGTTTACTATATGTAGTTATAACCCCTATATGTATATGTAGTTATTTAATTGTTTATTTAATATTTGAAAATTAAGTTTCAAGAATTCTTTTTCGAAATTTCGGAACAAGAACTAAATTGTCACAATATTTCACTAGCTGTGTAATTGTTTGTGTATACATGCACTTAAATTATGTGTGAAGAGGGTGATGAACACACAAAAAAGAAAACTTTTATGGAAAATGAAAACAAAATTTATAATGATCCAATAGTGAGGAAAATGAAAAAATTTGTAAAAAAAAACATATGAGTACTTGCTCGCAAAGAATACAAAATTATTAAACATTCAATATACGAGTACAATAACCAATTGTGTATTAAATACTATATGTTACAATATGGTCACTGAAATTAATTATACCACTAACATTTTGAAATAAATAAAAAACTAATTGGTTAAATTTGAATTGCAGATACTTTAGTATGCAAGAATAATTAAAAACTTAAACAGAAAATGGAATCGAACGGATATAATAAAATTTATTGTAGATCAGAAGTGTAAATAAGATCCAGCCTTTAAACTCATTAGCTGGTGTAAGAACGTCTATTAACAGTCTATAATTATTAGTCTATTAACGCCTTGTTCCTTCTATTGACACCATTCTCCATTTTATTCGAATACAATTCCAAATCCTTTTCTCTTCTAGAAATGAATTGATTAAAATAAGAAGTTAAGACTTATTGATTTCCATAAGTAAATCACAAATATCAAAAATAATTCAATATGAGCTGGTATTTTTAGTATAGAAATATTATTTTTGTATTGCAGAATCTTTTACTGGATTGATAATCCCCGAAAAACATTAAGTAATTATAAAATGTTATATGCATTATCCACTTGAAAATTGATAATAAAACAATGCAAGACTCGATGCTATTTACAAAGCGTGAATATAGTAGAATGAAACTCATAAAAAAAAATAATGAGCCTCAATTCAAATTACCTTTTTACTTTACAAAATATTTAAGTACACAAAACCAAAATTTTTAAGAATTTAATTCAATAATCTTTATCTTTTACCGTTGTTTAATCAGAATTGTGTGCAATCAATCTACAAATCAAGTAAAAATTGCTATTCTGACCTTCATTATAACATCAAATATTTGTCAAAACGTTTGAAATGAGCAATGGTCACTTGAAATAAAATGAAAATCAGAAGTCAGATCACTAAAAAGATCAATTAAAACAAAATATACTTGGATATCTTGCATATTAACAACGACATCCAATCAAAATATTTTTAACCCTTCTGTACATAACCAAAAAATTTATGTTCCGTCAATCTCTTAAACAATGAATTTTATATGGAAATCACATAAATTCAACAATTTAAATACTTCATGTCTACATATCAATTAGAAATAGTGAATAGATAAATATGGTAACTATTCCAAAAAAAAAATTTTGAAATATTAAATCCACCAACAACCTAGGACTTAACTTATTTCTTTTTTTCATCACGGCTTATTATCTATATCAAAATAAGTTAAGTATCGACCAGCTTAACAATCTTATTAGGTACTGTTTTGAACTGATTTATTTCATTCGTTAGAAACTACAGTGAGCTTCATACTTACAAACTTTTATAAACTATAATTGAAAACTTATTGATTATTAATTACAATCATATTAATTATTGATTACAATAATATTTAAACACATTCTATGAATAATAAGTCCATAAATTCTAAATAAAAATATACCTTTCAAAATTCTTATTGCGTAACAATTTAATAATTACAATTTATTAAAACTTTTATTTATACACAAACAAAGAATTAATAACGGGAATAATAATAACTTTTATTTGATAGTAACTTCGATAAAACGTTGATTATTTCTCTATAATACGTGCAAACGTACAAAGATAAAAAAAACCAATAAAATGCATTTATACTTCGGTTTTCATGTAATGGATGTGCTGTACTGAAAAATTTTATTGAGATTCTTACTAGACCAAAATTCTTGTTATGATACGTAACGTAAAATTTCATCTAAATACTTAAATAAATTTAAAGAACGTGTACTTTTCTCCAAAGTCGTCCTATTAATCCTGGACTCATTATTTATCAAAATTTTTCCAACTTGTGTACTTTGTTAATTATTTAATATTATACGTGTATAAAGGCACACTACCTAATCAATGCTTTTTTGATTTAAATTTTAAACAATCATTGAATATTTTGAAATTTTCTAAAAAAAAAACATTAAAAAAATCAATTTCTTTTACTTACACATTTTATTGCCATTAAATTTTCCAAATCTGTAGTACTCGATTTCCCAATATCCGACCAACTACGTTTTATCATTGCATTAACATTAATTGTATATTAAACAGTGCAATTTAACTATTTAGTAAAAAATACAAAAAAGAGATAATTAAAAAAAATCATACAAAAAACTATTAAAAAAATGCGTAAGTTAAAAGCATTATTCCGCAAAGTTTTCCGTTTATGTACTAAAAATTCAGTATGAAAAAAGTTAATAGACACTTCCTCAATTAGTTTAACACATAATTTAAAATAATAATAATAAAAAAAAATTAAATTAAACAAAACTTATCAAATACTTTATTATGTACCTTGATTATAGATATACATTTGTATGTATATGTATATATGTATGAATAATGCGGGAATATTTGTTTATTTACCTGTATTTAATCCAAATAGTACTTATAATAGTACCGCCATTACGTTTATAAGGGCCTTATATTTTTAAAAAAAACTGGAATACTACCACACTATCAGACCACAAAACATTCATTTTCTAGTATCCATATTTTGATGCCAAATAATAAGTTCAAATATTCCAACATTTTGAAATCATAGCTTTTGAAGTTTTGCAGTTATGATGGTGTTAAAACTAATCGTTAAGAAAAATAAATATCCATAAAAGGGAAAACACGATTTTCAAAAAATTTTAAGAAAAGTGTAATATGGATTTCGTACCATTTTAAACCAAAAGTTTCTAATAGAAGCTAAGGATTAAGGTCAGCTTAAAGAGTCAAAATTATTAACAAACCTGAATACTAATAATTGTTATAATTGTTAGTAAAAACGACGAATAAGTAAGACATATGCTTCATTTCAATGTCGAACAAATTCTAAAGGTAAGCCAGCTCAGTAATTCCGTGTAGGAAATTTATTTCCATTTATTTGGAATCAAATCTTTATTATACCAACATTATTTAAAAAGAATACCAATCTAATACTTTTCTTAAACAACTAATGAAAAATAGTTTACGTATCATCACGAACCTATATTGACGTATCGTAATCCTATAGTGGTATACATACATAATAAATTTTATTTAAGCATTTTGAAATTGATTGATCTAAATTGTTATTTTAAGTATATACTTAAATATCATACACATAGAATACTGAGGTGAGGCACACCATGTTTTTATAGCATTTTATAGCTTTCTTATCATAATTTATTTGTGTTTTAACTTTTGTGATAATAATTTATAGGTTCAATCTGGACAACAATAATTTATACAGTCAATATTATTGAGTTAAAAAATGATTAAAAGTAGTACACATATAGTAAGCATGTGGTGGAAAACAACTATAATAATATTTTTGTAAATTATTGATTGATGATTGAACTATGTGTTTCTCATTTAATTAAAAGCTCCAAAATAATATTAAGCTTGAAAATTGATTATTGTTTTGTATTACTGCAGTAAAAAGGGGAACAAAATTTTTCCTAATATAAAAAATTTCAACACATAAGTACATACTAACATTGTCAGTATTACTAACATTGTTGTATAATTTCGAAAATCTTTTTTACTGCAATAAAATAAGGAAAACTTGGACTAAGAATTTAAGTAAAAGTAACAATTACAATGAAAAATAAGAAACAATACATAGTTATTTTTATGAATGAGGATTGACATGTATGTATATATGTATATGGAATATGAATATTTTGAATTATGTGCAATTTAAAGAATTTATTGAGCAAAAATAAGATATTATAAGATTTAAATACCAAAATACTTTATTTACTTTATTGTTAAATTTATTTTTTTTTTAAGAAAAAAAGTATACTTAGCCTCAAATAAAATGTACGGACATTCAAACAGATGTTTTAACAAGTCAATAACAGTGCCCTTTAAATACTTTAATAATATATTTAATTAATTCATTTGTTTATCAATTTATAAAATACAATTAATTAACTTAAATATAAAATAATTCAAAATATGTGTATAAATACATAATCTTGTGCGTATGTAGATATCAAATAAAATCGTAAATCAGTGATAATCTCCAAAAACAGAGATTAGATTCATGAAAAAACTTATATTGCATTTATCAATTTCAGCATAATAGTCATTGTACCTTAGTTACTTTAGGTTGCAGTAGTTCCTATCACAAAACTCAACTTTTAAATTGAATACCATGTATCAATTTGAGAATAAAACAGAAAATGTTTTTTATATTGCAAAGAAAACCGCGGCATTTTTGGTTTTGTTTCTTCTGAGTTTTCCTTTTGTCTTTTATCTTTATTATGTACTTTAAAAAATTGAATCGTATCGACGGTTTTTCAAAATTATAAATTTAATATTCTATTTGCATTTATTTACTAACATTTTATAATTTATAGATAAGAAATAAAAACTAATGAAATAAAAATTAAGTTTAGAGTAGAATAAAAAAGTAGTGTTTACATCTTTAAAATTTTTATTTTGCAAAATTATTACAAGATTTTATTTTCCAAATTTTACGAACATCATAAAAATATTTTATAATTATTTTATTATTACTCTCTTTTTTATTTATTATTTTACATTATTGATTTAATTTTTTAATATTATTATTTCTTCAGTTAATCTGTTTTTTTTTTAAACTACCCACAAAATTACAATATGTATATAAAAATTTCCTTTTCTTATTTTGTTTCTTTTTCTGCATCATTTATAAAATTATAGAAAAAAAATTATGTTTAATTTAATATAACCTACAAAAGTTCAAAAATAATTTTTAAAATATTAAAACAGCATCAAATTCTTAGACTACAAAAGCATCAAATTATATAATTTTATATATTAATTACACAGAAACTGAGTAATTTTGCTCAGCATAGACTTGGTACGAGTTTTCTGAAATTAGATAAAAAAAAAAAACAAAAAAAATGGAAATTTCAAAAGGATGAAAATAAACCTAGTTGAAATATTGTTAATTTGTAAATAATAAAAGTTTTTTGAGAAAAAGCCAAATAAAAAGTTAAATTGATAAAACCTAAAAATTCAAATGATTTATCATGAATTACAAAACATAAAATAAATTTCTCATATTATTCATTCCTTTTTCATTTTTTCGTTTAATTAATATCCAAAAGCAAAATATATAAAGTAAATAATTCACAATGTAGACAACTAAAGGAGTATTTTCCATTTTATATGTTTCCACAAAACTACGCCTTAAAATATTTATTGAAATGTAATGCTTTGCAAATAATTTTTCACCTTGCTTTATTAATGCTTAACTTTTAAAAAATGCTCAGTGAAAATATTAAAAAACAACTGCTACAAACACAGACAAAAAAAGCCTGTTTTTGCATAAAAACAGTGATGTTTTACAAAATATGTACTTATATTAAATATTTAACTAATGGAAAGATAGAAAAGCAACTTTATTTCAAAATAAAAAAAACAAAAGCAAAAACGTTCATGCCATTTTCAAAACAGAAAAAGGAGTTAATAAAACATGAAAACGAAAATGTTACACTAAAATAAAAAAGGCCCGTTGCGATTGTCATTCATCAAAACTTTACACGTATCTTACTTTATAAATTAAACAATCTTTTAAATAAACGTTATGCTAATACAATCGTATTTCTAATTATCAAATTTATCGTGGCAATATATCACATAAAATTATTGTAAAAAATATATGTAAATGTACTTTTTAAACACAATTTTGATAAATAACACTCACTAAGGATATATTGTTCTAATCCATTATTATTTCTTATAACAAAGAAAAAATACTACATAAATTGGAAAACCCGCTAGAGCAAGATAAAATAAAAAATAAGTTAAGCTTTGTTATTTATTTGCTACATCACAAAAAAGCGTAAATAAGAAGGATGAACGTGAACTAGTTTTCTATTTGTGAGTAAACGTACAGTTAAGATTAAGTATGTACCTTAAATTTGAAAATTAAAATGTAAAAATTTAATTTAAAATTGTATTTATGTAACAAAATATTTTACGATTATTATGCTTACTTAAATTGAAATATGTAAGAAATTATTAAAAAATATATTTAAAACAAAATTATTTTATATAAATTTGTATTATTACTCTCATTTCTTATAAAAATTTTAAAATTAAAAGGAAACAAAAGAACGTATGATTATGAGATAAAGAAACAAAAGTTACACCTATGTTTCATCTGTAATATCAAGAAGACACGAACCAGAATTGTAAACTGAAGATTTTAGTGAATTTGCTACATCACGTCTAAACATTGACAAATTTTGTGTAAACCTACAAAAAAATTTTATATGGAATACATTTTCAAACAATTTTTAAGAAATATTGGAAAAAAAAACAAAAATATTTTATACCTTTCCCTATTTTTCATTGAAATATTTCTTTCTATTCCATCCATTAAAGCGGCGAACCATTGTGCCATTGTTGCTTGTTTTTCTATCGGTTGTGAATGTATGATATTTTCTTTAATTGATCTACATTCATATACAAAAAAAAAATAAAAAATCAATTTATAAAATTAATAATTTGCATTATTCTATAAGTTTCTTTATTACCCAAAATAATCTTCATATAATAAAATCAATACTAAAAGTGGACGGGACATCGACCTAAAACAAAAAAAAAAACATGTATATTTTCTTCTTCAACTACTTAATTTTTAAATTTACCATTGATTTCTACAATCTTCTGACATTACTAGATTTAAAAGAGTCGACATCATTCCTTGAAGGATATCAGAATACATTTCAACAACCTAAAAGATCAAGCTAAGTGTTTATTTAATATGTTGAAAAATATTTAAATTTTTATGCCTTAAGGAACTGCTCATTTTCAGGTGTAAGGCCATGTCTCAACTTTTTTTTAGGGAATGTAGAAACTAAAATAAATAATCAAATCTAAATTAAAACTAACATTTAACATACTAATTCAAAAACTTCAATACCTTTCAATTGTAATTGCTTGAAAATGTATGAAACAATATTATCTAAAGCGGAACAGCATACTGATGAATCTACAAAATCAAAATTGTCAAAATTGATATTAATATGAAACTGTCGTTCTTAATAAAATACCTAGGGCTGTAATTCCTTTCGATATACTTCCTAAAATATATCCGAATGCTCGTGGTTCTAACGTTGCCAGAAACGTAATATGATCTTGTGCTAAACAGTCTAATAATATATAGTATGCAGAAGATAACTTAGGATATTCCTGTATACCAATAAAAAATGCAAATATAAAACTATAGTACACGCATATGTTGGCAAAAATTAGTAACACATTAGTAACTGACAGGTGCTAGTCATCAGTAAATATGTTAGATATTATTTATTTTAAAATAATTTTTTACCAGAAGATCATTTTGTTGTATAGACATAATCATTTTTGCAGTAACATTTAAAACATTATCCAGCGTATCATCTCCATATAACTTGAAAACTCCGAAATTAACATAATTTCCACTTAAAGCATGTTTTAACATTAGAAAACACACGGAAATCCCTTTTAGACGCATTGGATATTGTTGATCACGTGGAACATCTATGTGCAATACTCTGTCACCTAAAACAATTTTACAATTTTCAAGTCAAAGCAAAAAGGGTTGGAATCAGTATTGCACAATTTTACCATATAAGCATATTAATTTTGATGTTTCTTTAAACAATAAAATTCCATTCGGACTAGAAACATTTCCTTGTAATCTTTGTGATCTACAATTAACAAGTTCAGCAAACAGTTTTAAAATGGGAGTTGTTAGTCCGGGGTCATGTGCCCATAATTCAACAGCTCTGATTAATATCGGTGTATAATCGGGGTATCTACAATCAATACCAACGTAAAGTTCAATATATTTCACAATGAAAGAAAAATAGAAGGTAAATTTTTTATTGATAAAATATCCGGTCTTCAAAACTAAAAACTTCCGAATGCTCTGTAGATTTTTTATGTACACTTACATCCAATCAAACAGCATCATATACGGACTTTTTGAGTTTAATGAAAATGCTAAACCTCGTAAGTCTCTCGCTAAACCAATAATAGCCTTTTTTGCTTCCTCATTTGGAAAACTGTTATTACCCATCATTATAGATCCTAACGATTCAAATTGATCTAAAATCAAAATTTTTAATATATAAGGTTTCCAAGCAAAATTTTTATTTCGCATAGTTACTGGTTAAGGGAGTCATAAAACTGTAAAATCTCTCTTCGTCTTCACCAAGATCAACAATAAGTAACCGCCCAAGCGATGTATAAAACATACTTCTGCATCTCATTTCTGTTAAGGAAGTATTTGTCCCCAAAAAAGGGAAATGTTCGCTCTAAAAATTATTTTATAGAGATGAAATTACTAGAATTTTTCTGTTTAAATATTTATAAAAGTCAAATACCGTATGATGTGTTAACATAAATTGCACTTCTTCTAATTTTGCCATTTTGCGAATGCAACTAAAATTTAAGGATAAATCATTCAAAAGACATAAGGTCTTAGTTATTACTTGCTCTGACCGGACCCAACATTTCAAATTCGTTATACTGAAATTTAAAAGATAAAGTATACAATGTACAAGAAATACTTATTTTCATTACATTTTTCTATTAATCATGCTTAACAACATTTGCTCATCGTTTAGCCCAAAAACTTCAGATAAGCGTTTATAAACCTTTGCCTTATTACTTTGTTCGCTAATATGAATTTTTCTAACTTGCTCTAAAAAGCTTAAAAAAGATAACTCTAGTTTCTCACAACCTGCTTGTGGAAGTCTTGCATCAGTTAAACTCATTAATTGCAGGACCTATCAAGTACCAGTTAATTATTTTCTTTTATGTTATTAATTTTTCTTTCTTACTCTTATAACAAGTTCACTATCCATTGTATCTTGTTCTTCACTAGCATTGAATGACAACCTGCCTCCAATAGCTGAACCAATAATATAAACCAGCCATGTTAATTGGAGTTCATGAATTTTAACATCCAAAGCATTTGCATTAGGGTTTTGTAAAAGTTCTTGATAAGCTCGTGCAGTTTGGTCGAAATGTTGAACTAATAATGTACAAGTTTTTTCATACTCGCATCGCTCAATTACTGACAATTGTTCCAATTGTTGTTGCACCATCCCTAAATCATCTAAGGGGTCCTCCAAATCTTCCCTGTAAAAATATTTGAAATATTTAGTATATAATTTTCAATACAATGAAGACGTCATCAACCTTGCTATAACAGGTACAGATTCTAATCGTGAAGTGATGTAAGCTTTTGTTAATTCTGGGGTATACGTTCCCAATAAATGAGGTTCTGTTGTCTTAACATATGGAACTGAGGCCACCATTTTTTGCCACAACAAAAGCAAATAATGCACACTATTGGGAGCAAATTGCCACATCTAAAACACAATTAATCAGTTAGTTTATTTCAAATATTTAATCATCTGATAGCATTAAAACTTACCTGCAATGATTGTACAGTGAATTTAGCAATAAGTTGAATCGCTTCTGGATAACATTCTACGGAAATCAATTCTCCCAGTTGATAATTTGATTTTAATCGGGCTAAAAGACGACAGAACTCATGATAGTTTTCTGGATCACTTAAGCCCTAAACATATTAAAAATTAATAAATATTTGCTCATATATAATGCAATAGTTTTTACATGTAAATTCTCTAAAATGTTTTTAACTCCATTAACCAGATGAGTAAGGAATTTTGTACGTTCGGAATTACTAAATAGCGATCTTCTCACTGATGTCATCTAAAACCAATTTTTTAAAATTTAAGACATATATTAAAAAAAAAATGATATATTTTTACGTTACTATATAATTAAACAAACCTGAACGAGACATGAGAGTGATAAGCTTGCAAGACCGTTTGGTAATATTTGATACAGATCGAAAAATAACTTTAAAGTGTTTGAGTCAAGAAAAGCTGGACGCCAATTCGCGGGAATCTTAAAAGAGTATTTATTTAAAATATATTAATTAACATTAAATAAAATGAATTTACCTGTACACTACTCATGTCATCTGTCGATTCATCAGTAGAGCTTCCAATAAAGTCAAAACTGAGGCAATTTTTGGTTAATCTCAAGACATGTGATATTAAACTAAAACAATTTAGAATAATACATTTAGAATATTAGCAAAATCACTTGCTTTACATATTTCACTTATATATTTTAATGAGACAATTTTCACAAATAGAATTTACCTTTGTTGAGCTTCATCCATAAAATTTAAATTTTTACTATTATCGCGGGCTGTTATCAAAAGAGAACAGGACAGTAAAAATATATCATACAATAACAAATCTCTGAAAGATATTGCTATGTTGCGATTTTTTGAAAAAGTCAAATTTACATCAAGTTCAGCAGTTGAATTCATCTCACAAACAAGTTGTGATAAAATTTGGACTCCAATCGTACAATGCTCAACTGAGCCCTATGAAAAAGTTAAAATAAGTTTTCAACCTTATAATCAATTATTCGATAAACCTGTAGAAATTTTTTGACGTCCTCAAGGATATTCCTAAAAACATTTTCGTTTTCATAAGTATCCAACCATCCATATTTAGTAATTTTCGCTAATAAAATTACTAACGCTTGCACAACAAAGTTTCGTAAATTTGGGCGAGTTGCTAAGTAGTTGAGAACATAACTCCTAATAATGTTTCAGATGCACAATTATTATTTGTTTTATAACGTAAACATTAAAGTATTTTACCTTATATCCATTCTTTGCTCTAAGCTTAGGCCTTGACATAATTTTGTCAATGTTGTGGCGGCTAATAGTTGAGCATAGCTAGAATCTGCTCTATCAAGAAGCATCTGACATTTTGGTAGAGCATCTGGAGCACCCACAAAAGAAACTAAAGCCTTTTCTGCCTCTGCACGTATTATTGAATCTGCGGACTCATAAAGTTGTTTGCAGAGTACTTCGAGTTGTTGAATTTCCTATAAGATTTACAAAATTTCAATATCTTATAAGGTGCGACTTAGATTCCAATAATTATGATTAGTGGTTTAACATAATTCATATTCAGAATACACTTTGTCATTGATAAACATTGTAAAATTCTTGACAAGTTTAAGTTATTAAATTAAAAACAAAAGTGTAATATCGCCATTACATTGAATTGAAATGTGCAAATTATTTCAACTACTTGATCCATACGCTTTATATCTACTTATATATTTGTTTCACTTTTCAAAAACAATTATATTGTTTTTGATCAGTCATAAAATTTATAATGGAATCAATTAAATTCGAAAATAGAACGAGTTTCATGTTATTTTATGCAAATATTGCATGAAAAAAACATAAGCTGGAACTGTATTGTTTAGCCGACTATAGTTTTTGTTCTTTATGAACAAGAAAAAAAAAAATTGAGATTTCCGACACAAACATACGCTGATTTTATACTTTTATTTTACATATAAAAATCACCTACCATTTCCAACTTCTTGCTTCTTATTATCAAATTATCTTTTATTAAAAAATAATTTACTTTAAGGATTAAATTTTAAAAAATTAATTTATTTATATTTAATGAATTACAGCTCCTTTACCACCATTCTAAAACGACAAAACATTAAACTTTAAAATATTGGCAACTCCAATTAAACCAGTACACATTTAACTCAACATCCACAATAAACATTTATTTCTAAATTCACAATGGTACGAAATTAATGACAGTTGAAATCAGTATTCAGTAATAGCAACAGACAGACCCTCGGATCTCACTCGGAAATAAATTGCAGCACTCGGAAACAAAATATGTAATTGCTGACTCATACATAAAGTTGTTCTAATATTTCAAAAAACATAGTATATTATGAATATATAACTTTTTCTTAATATTCTAATTTAAATTTTTTCCCGGTTGAACTTTGGCACATTTGCATTCTTTGCGCGTTATCACCTCCTATTTCCGTCCTTTTGTATACTCTTTCAACAATAAATTAGAAACTTTTTTGACGTGAAAGCTTTACATTTTTTAATCGAGGAATCCTAAAATTTCCAGCATTATCTGTTGTTAATTCAAAACACATACCATCAGCACATTTTTGCTGTCAGTTTTAAACAATTTAAATTATTTCGGTTTTGTGATAGAAAATTTCAAAATAAAATTTTTAGTCACACGCTCAAAATGACAACTCATGTGAAATACTAGAGTATATTTGAACTATTGCCCTTATAGCTTTTGCAGCGTTTTTAAAAATACAAGGGCACAAAGGCCCAGATTAAACTCAAAATTTATATAATCATTACCTGTGTTTGCACGCCGCCTTTATCATCAATGGTCGACTTACGTTTTATTCCCCATTGTCCAGAAGTTGTGTTTGAAGGGAGTGAAACATATGAACAATACAATTCCTAAATTTTAAGTTGAAAACGGAAAAGAGCAATTTTCCGTGGTGAAATGTCAGAATTTATATAGAATACACATAAACATACCTAAAAGGTACTGCCAAAATCAAGGGAAAATACCGACGCGATTTATTAAATGTCTATTTGTTATGCTCGTACCTTACTTCGGCGCACGAAAAGCAAGCATGTCAGGTTTGTTTCGAGAAGTGGAAAGCGACTGTTCTATAAATCAAATACTTATGTATTTGATCTAGTTTAATTTTCTAAGACCACTGAAGTAAATTCGAAATTTTCCGAAAACTGTAATTAGAATAAATCATTAAAAACCGAATTCAAAATGAATTTAACCTACATACATACTTTTCCATTTTCTGTTGATATTGCAAAACTTGATGCAAGTTTACAATCAGATTGAAACCAAATTGCTGTGCGATTCTGTATTAAAACCAAAATTTAGAGAAGTGGAAATTACTAAATTTTATAATAATTAGCCTGTAAATAAATTAAGCTTGTTTTTGAAGTGTTCGAAGCACATATTTGTGTAAATAATTGCTTTCGATATTAAAACAATAAATTACTAAATTTTATAATAATTAGCCTGTAAATAAATTAAGCTTGTTTTTGAAGTGTTCGGAGGCACATATTTGTGTAAATAATTGCTTTCGATATTAAAACAATAAAACCGCTGAAAAATCAAGATACATATATATCAATATTAAAAATTACAACTGGGAATTATTTCAATCAAATTTCGAAGATTTAGTAACAGAAAAACGTTATTTTATGTTTTTTTGTATATTGACTGTATTACTTGTGTTTTTTTAAATTTTTTTATGTTGACAATAAATAACAAACACTTATGATCTGTTTGTCGCATCACTTTTGTTTGACGCGATGAGTTGTTATTCAAAAATTTTGTTTTTCAGCATAAAATCATTTCCAAAAGTTGAAACTTTATACTGAAAACCAAAATACTTTTCAATAATACCCCATCACCCCGAGTGATGCAACTAACAAAATTTTTTTTTGCCCGTGATGATGAGTTTGACATGCCTTATTTATATAGCAGAGATTTTCATAAACGCAGTACTGCAAAACAATAAGTGCGAAACGCAATACTGTAATTACATTACATGATGAATATGCAACATGCATATTTTTATATAAAATCAAAACAGTTTATATGATAATATAAATCTGCGCTCCTAATATTGTTCTTGTTTATGAACAAAATAGGTTAGCAACATTTGTTTACGAAAACAAATATAGCAGTTTTTTCGCAATATACAACAATATAATTATATACTGCGATTATGAAAAGGCTTAGAATGTGAGCTACCTATGTGCTTTGTTCTATATCGCGTGAGTACGTTATTCTACATCAAAGTTGAAACAATTTTTTTAATTCATCTGGTTTTAATTTTTATGCAAAATTTTTTAATAAGCCTTCTTTTAAGAATACTTTATTAAAAATTATGTTTACTGTTTCATATAAGTATGAACAAACCAAAAGTTATAAAAACAATCAAGCTATAACTTAATCTGGGCTCTATTGCAACAACCTCTTATTTTTCTTAATTTTTCTTAAACAACATTCAATTATTTAATAAACAAAAACATTAAAAAAGCCAAAGTGGTTGGTTGAAGCTTTGACAATATCCTTGCCTTGCGTTTCCAAGAATATTATTTAGTTTTGATACTTAAATGCTTTTTGAACTCCAATTTTTTCACTCTTCCAAAGCAAGAACTTTTCGGTATTTGTTTTCAAATATAATTTTATTTAAATTTTTTTTTTGGCATATATATTTTTCCCTGTGACCAACATTATTGACCAGAAAACTAGTTTTGTAAATTCATAAAAAAAAAACTTTTATCCCATTTATTTAAAAATCGGCTTTTTTATCGAAAAACATGAAACAGTATATATACATTGCGTACCATATATACATACATATGTATATACTAGATTACAATCAAACAAGTTTTTTTGATGGAATTATGATATATTTTGTCAATGTTTGCATTTACCTACTTCACAAAATTAAGATATGAAAACAATTTTTTTTTCTGTATATCAAGAATAAAGGTAACGTTTTTTATCATGTAATGTTGCAAACTATATAATATTTTCTTATTTTTTTATATCAACTTACACTAATTTGAAAGCGCTCCAAAAGTTTAGGAAAATGATAAAGAAAAAAAAATACTTATTTTTAGTTAGAGTTATTTTTGTCACCTGGCAGCTCCTGATTTTTTAATTTAGGAAAATAAAAGATGACGCGAATTCGATATATAAATTTATTCTGTTGCGGCCATAGCTCTGGCTTGAGCCCTTACTCGTTTTTCGTATTCCAATCTGTTCTGGCAATATATAGTATAGGCCTCAGCTTGTGCTGGATCTTTAATATTTGGTTCATTGAGCAAATCTTGTATACCCAATAATATTTGCTTAATTGTAATAGCTGGACGCCAGTCTTTTTCTTCATCTAGTAATGACAAACATACTGTACCCGAAGGATAAACATTTGGGTGAAATAATGGTGGCTCAAATTTGCATTTTGGCGGGCTTGTAGGATAATCGTCTTTAAAAATCATTCTTAATTTATACAAACCACCTTCCCAAGGGGTGCCTTTTTTGCCAGGAATTGCGCATTCCCAATTCATTAAGTTCAATGTACCATCCGGATTCTTCGTTGGACGAGCAACAAAACCGAAAGGATGATCTTTTCGCCATGCTTTTCTTTCTTCTCCCAAACGAGCCACAGCTATTCCAGACATATTGTATTTCAAGTATTAAATCTCAATTTTTTAAAAATTTAAACAAAACTTTATTTTAAATTAAAAACCTGATTTTTAATTCTTATATTTTAATTAAGTTTGATATTCTAGTCCAAAATAATATAATTCCTCCTTCAGAAAAATTATTGATGTCAAAATTATTAAAAGAAAAAATCTACGACTGATATCGCCGTCGCGTATGGAAGCCGCCTGCGGTGTCCTCTAGTATGACATTAGATATTTTAGCAATAAATTTGAAATTTATTTGATTTGACAGTCCACCTGGGGATTTCTTTGTACGACTCGACAGTGCATAGAAATATCTTTCTATGTATGTACATACTTCAAAACAAAGAAACGTAAACAACCAAAACTGCTATAATCGTTATAACATTATTATGTTCTTTTCCTTGTTAAGAAGTTGTTTAGTGTAGCAACGTATAAGAAAACTGCAACAAAATAGAAGTTTGCTTGATAATGTCAAATCACATACAAAATTGATTAAATTATTTTTTCCATTAAATTTAGAAAAAAGAGTTCATAAAAAGATAATTGACTTAGAAGAAATTAAAAAACAATTATTAGGTAAAAGGAATTTGTGGAGAAAATTATATAAGAGCAGGTTATTTCCAAATGCCATAATATGTACATATGTATGTGTGTATATAATACGCGAATATTAATTTATTGGTTTAATCTTGAAATATAAATTAAAAGTCTTTTTTGGAATATTAAAGTTTCAAAGAAGCCGAGAAATTACCACTAAACCACTATTGAAAAGTCATTTGCAAATTAAGAAAGAGAACATTCTAAGGAATTTGCAAATAGTTCGTTTATATTACAAAAAGCTGGTTAAACGTTTTTCTTTGTATAGGTTTCTCGATTTGTTTTACTACACATCTAGCATGTGTAGTTCATATTTGGCTATTATTATTATTTTCTCAGCTGGAAGTATTAATAGCACAAGAAAAAACTAGTTGTCATCAGTTTATTCGTAAAAAAAATTGATGGAAAAACAATAACTTTGAAACGAGCAATGGGCTCTACACCATCACGTACGTTTTAAAAAATCATCGTAGCTTGTTATTATATATAAATATTTAAATATTGGAACTTATTTTAAAGTTAGAAACGTTTCTCAAAAATTTTCATTTTACTTTACAGTCTACTTTCCTTTGCAGTTTACGTTACAATCTTTACGTAACTGTGCAAATTAGTTTAGCATTGACACATTTTCGCAAATTTATGACAACGTTGTGTTGTTATTGGTCGATGCTTAAAAAAATATGTTCGTTGGACTAAAATATACTCGGTCTAAAGCCTATTTAAAAATTTAAAAAAAATTGCTCATGCGTATTTTTATTTATTTTGAAAACTCGTTTGACATTTTAAAAATTCCAGTAAACGTTTTTAAAAAGAAATTAATAAACATTAAAAGAGTGAACATTGCAATCATATGTATAATTTAAAATATTTGCTCGTGCATATTTTTATTTATTTTAACAACTCTGTAACGTTCATTGAAAGGAAAGTAAAAATATAATATTTGGTATACATAATAATTATGGTAAAACTAAAAAATAAGATTTATTTTTACTATACTTAATGCTGCACGCACAATTACGGAGAAAAGGATAGGGTGGGCTGTTGGCACTTTCCAGCCCTTCAAGGCGTCGGGAGTGAATGGGATTTCACCAGCACATAGGATTCTGCATAGGGGGCTGGAGCCAATTATGCCCTTTTTAATAAGAATATTTAGGAGTAGCTTGGCTCGGATACATTCCCGAGTGCTGACGGGTGGCTAGGGTTGTCTTTATTCCCAAAGTGGGAAGAAGGGACATGGTGCCCAAGTCATTCAGACCGATTAGTCTCACATCGCTCTTATTGAAGACGATGGAGAAAATAGTTGATAACCATGTCCGGGCGGGGAGCGAGGAGGCCGCTGAGCGATTGCCAGCATGCGTATCGCCTTGCTAGTACCCTAGAAAGCACAATAGAACAGGGAGAGGTGGGGCTATGCGCGTTCCTGGATATCGAGGGGGCCTTCGACAACACTTCTCATGAGGCGATTGCGGGCGCCCTGAGGCGTAGGGACGTGGATGATGGCACCTCTCTATGGATGTCCAATATGTTGGCTAGAAGAGTTGCAGAGGCACTGTGGGGCAGAGCACCCTAAGGATGCGCGTGACAAGAGGATGCCCACAGGGTGAGGTTCTGTCTCCGCTAATGTGGAGTTTGGTGGTGGATGAACTCCTTGATGAGCTGCTTCGTCAGGGAATTGGTGTCCAGGCTTATGTCGATAATATAGTCATCATCGCTAGAGGTAAGTTTGAGGGAACTCTTTGTGATATAGTCCAAAGGGGATTACGGGTGGCTCGGGCCTGGTTCGATACTGTGGGTCTCAGGCTTAACCCTAACATGACGGCCCTGGTGCCTTTCACTAGGAGACGGAAGCTAGAGCATCTGCGCACAATATACGTGTGCGGGCTGTAGAGAGAAAATCGGAGGTCAAATACCTAGGAGTGGTGTTTGATTCCTTGGTGTTCTTTGGCGAAGTCACGAGGAAGCTGTGTGTACACGGGTAACCCGGGCACTTATTATTTGCAGAACCATCTCGGGCAGGTCGTGGGGCTGCTCCTCGTCTGTCATGTGGTGGATGTATACCATGATGGTCCTGCCGCTCCTAACTTATGGAGCAGTGGCATGGGCAAGAAAGGTGGCTCTTGGTACGGCTAGAAAGAACCTGGAACGATTGCAGAGACTCGCAAGTGTCTGCATCACAGGGGCTATGAGAACTTGTCCAACGGCGGCAATGGAGGTGATTTTGGGACTAACCCCCTTGCACCTTGTTGTGGAGATGGCAGCGAAGGTAGCCATTTTCAGTTTGGGGAGAAATGGAGCCGGAATAATCGGTGTGAGAGATCGGGGTCTTCTTGTCGGGGAGGTTCCGACATGGGAGGGACGACATGGTAAAGAGGTACAGCTTCGAGAAAAATTTTGCCTCGTTGTTAAGTAACAGAAGGGACTGGGAGCGTGACTTTTCGGCCCGCCCAGTTGGAACACACGTTATTAGATGGTACGGAGATGGGTCAAAGACCAGTATTGGGACGAGTGTGGGGGTATTTGGGCCAAGAACCAAATTCTCCGAACCTATGGGAACTTTTCCGAGTGTGTTTCGAGCTGAGTTGCACGCCATTGAAATGTGCTTGCAGTTCAACCTGGAAAGGGGGTATCGGGGACAAGAAATAATGATTATGTCGGATAGCCGGGCTGCGAATGGAGCGTTGAACTCGTTTTCAGTATCCTCTGTGGCAGTATGGGGCTGCTTTGAGAAGCTCAATGAGTTAGGCAGACGCAACCGGGTCACACTGTGTTGGGTGCCGGGTCATATGGACGTGGAAGGAAATGAGGCCGCTGATGCGCTTGCAAGGAAGGGGCAAACAAACCTCTTCTTGGGCCGGAGCCCTTCTGCGTAATCGGACCATATACTATTCGTTGGAAATTAAGGAAGAAATCAGAAAGAAGGCGGTCGGAGCTCTGGAAAAGTCTTCCGGGGCTGCGGCAAGCCAAGGAGCTTCTGGAAGATTATGACCAGAAGTGATTTAAGAAAATTGTAGGGATGAGCAAGGTGAGAGTCCTCACCAGAATTTTGATGGGTCACTGCAGGCTTAGAGGACACCTCAGTCGGCTGGGTCTGGAAAATGAGGATACTTGCAGATTCTGTGGGGAGTATGGAGAGACCTCGGTGCACCTCCTGGGGGAGAGTGATGCTCTTGCTCGTAGGAGGGGGGAGGTGCTGGGAGGCTTTGCTCTAACGGTGGCGGAGTTACGGTCTTCTGGTCCTTACAAGTTGCTTGAGTTCATCAGGAGGGTGGGTCTCGAGCGTGTGTTGTAGGAAATGCCCCGCACTCGGATGGGGGCGCACAATAGATCCTTATTCGTGGTCGCGGTGCACTATTGCCCCCGTTATACAAATCTACAAATCTACTATACTTAATCGTATTTGATTTTTCTTGTTATAATTCTTACAGTCTAAGCGTACAGAACCGTTAGCTTAAGTTTTAGAAGCCATTCTACAACTACGTTAATATGAGAGCTTTTTCAGAATTTCTTAAGTGATTTGACATTTTGTTTATACATATGCACATATAAATTTAATAATGGTCTAAGATCCTAGCTTTTCTAAGATAAATTTTCTAAATACGACGTAATAGTTTTCTAAGCAAACATATACCGAAATTAATATTTAAAAAAATATTTAAAAAAAAAAACAGAATAAAGAACTTTGCAATGAATAAATTAACAATGAAAAAAATAACAAAAACAAAGAGAAACAAAACAAAAATCAGAACCTACTACTTGTTGTACTTAAAACTTATTAAATGTCAGTTTTCGGTATATTTAAATGTCGTAATTTAAATGTAACCTGTTAAATTTAATGCAAATGTACGTAGCCATTTAAATTAGAAACTAAAGAATGCTCAAGAAAAAGAATTATTTACTATTTTCAGAAAAGTAAAGTAATATTTTTTTTCTTGGGCATTCCTTAAGAAATTTTTGACAATTTTATCATAGAGTTTTATATGGAATTAAAACTATTTACCCAGCAGAGTACTATTCCTTAAAAAAAGCGACATTAAGAACGTTTGAAATTCGCTCGATTTAATTTTAATGTTTTTATCTCAAAATTCATTTCAGTTATTCAAATGAATTCTCCGTCATTTAATTCGCTTTCTGGATACCGCCTACTTTAATTTTTTTTTTCATTTTGGGTTTTTACTTACCAATGTATAGAATGGTTAATTCTCATACTTTGGAATGAGAATTTCAAATTATCTATTTTAGTCACGGCATAATGTAGCTGTGATTCATTATTATTTAATGACGTCATCTTTAAAAATAATTCAATTCATATTTCATATCAAAACATTCTTTGTTTGATAAGTTATTTTGAAGAATCATTTGCATGAATACGACAACGTAGAAAGAAAATAAATCAACATGTCTGAAGGTACAGAAATTGTAAGTGTAACAAATGAAGAATGGGAAGATTACAAGAAAAAATTTAATAAAATATATGAAGAGGAAGAAGATAAGATGCGACGTTTAATATACGTCGAAAGCAAAAAAAAGATTAGTGAACATAACAAAAAATTTGAGGCAGGGGAAGTTACATATAGTATGGGAATAAATCAGTTTGCAGACAAAAAGCCAGAAGAAACCTGCGGATGTATGGGGAGACGTAAACCGGATTCCACGACAAAGCAGAACTAAAACAATCATTTTTTTTATTTAAGGTTGAATATGTTTTTTATCTGTGAATATATACTTTTTATACAAAATAAATATTTGTCTTGCATATATGTAGCTCTTGCTTAATTTAATATTTAGTTTACCAATTTATTAAAATAAATACTAGAATATGTATACTTCTTACATAGATAATTTTTTCTTTAAAATTTTCTCTTATTGTATTTGATATCTGGGTTTACATTTTTTTGCATTTGTTGCATTTGATGTAATTGCATCATTTGTTGCTGTTGCTGCATTATAGGTGGATGCATAGAATTACCAGAATTAATCATATTCACTTGACTACCTATTTGGCCCCCTGATGTACTTGGAATTGGCACGGTTCTTTGTTCAGGAATCATATTTTGTCCAGGAGCCGTCTTAGTACAACTTTGTTGCTGTTGTTGTTGCGTGTCGGCGAGCATTGCTTTCCATTCCTCTAATCGTTGGTAGTGTTTGTTAATTAAAGCGTTTTTTCTTTTTATTTCATTGTTGAGTTCTTGATTTTCATCATTAAGCAGCATTTCTGGTTTCAGAGTTGATATTAAATATCTTTTTTGTAAAAAAAATGCTTCCATCAAACGCGCTACGTCTATAAATTTGTTTGCTGTTTGTTGAACTTCTACATCTATTTCATCTTTATCTACTCCATTAGAAGATTCTTGTTTCGTTAAAGCATGAAGGCATGCTTGAAACGCTTCTTCAAATTCATCCATTAGATTTCCATTCCCCGATGTTGTGGAAACCATGTTGATATTTTATCTTCAATTAAGTTATTTCCTTCGTCGCAGTATTTAGTAATCTCGCTGAATTTATCATTAATTTAAAAAAATTCTAATTTTTTAGAAGGATAAAAACAAATAATATAAAAGATAGTAAATATTGACACAAGGATACAAATTGACAGTTTAAACTAGACACCCTTAAAACAAATTTTGACATATTTTGACAAACAAGTTTATTATTTTGTATATGATATGTCAGGGATCGTTCAAATACTATCTTCTATTAACAAATATAATAAACAAAGTAAAGAAATATGTAAAACTAACGCTCGATAATCTGTGATTGAAACAACGAATTCAATTTTCAAATATGAACTTCATGTCAATTTTGATATAAAAGTATATTACTCAGCTCATTTTTCCATTTTTTACAAGAGTTTAAATTCATTATAAACTCTAGGTAAAAATGTCAAAAATTCCTTAAGTTCAAGAAACTAATGTAATTCTTTTCAAAAATAGTAGGCATTCAGTGTCAAAGAAATATTCTACATTATTCTATTCCCGAATAGGAGGCATCACAACAAAATATTATTTTCTTACATACTAAGTCAGTCTGGTATAAGAAAGTTTTTGAAAACTTAAACGTCTGGGATAATCTCAATGTTTAATTTTTTCAAGTTTTGTTAAATAAAATTTAATGTTTTAAAAACTTTTGAAATCATACAGCTGTCAAAACATATGTCTTTCTTGGCTATGTTTGTGTTTCTCTTTTTAAAGTTTTTTCAAGTTATATCCCAGACAGACATACTGTTTACGTATATATGACAAAATCCAATATTTAATCTGAATCTGACGAAAGTCAGATAACCTGTTTAACATTATAATTTCATTCAAAATTTTGAAATGGAATGAAATAATATCAAAAAAAAAATAAGTTCAGCCCATTCAGACGAGGCGATGAATATTCATTAGGTACATGAAAGCATCCGTGACTTCAATAATGCGCTTACGACGTAAACTTTACAAAGTATCACATTCTAGAAAGTTTAGTAAAAGTTCTTGACATTGTACACTTTTCCAAAATGCGTTCTATACGTGGCGGATACGTAAAATAAAAGCAAAATAAATGTATAAAATTGTATTCCAAAATGTATAAAATACTTTAGCAGTTTTTTTTCCCAATATGAAGGTATTGAAAGCTCTGAGACGGTACTACAATCGTTTTAATACCGTACTCAAACTTTTTATAAAGCATTAATGAAGTCACGCCATCTTTAAAAGTAGACTGTCTTATAAAAACGTAATTTGAATGTAATTTAATCTAAGTGTAATGAATGTGTAAAACCTGTTTCTTGATCTGATAAACTATGACTAACACAACTATGGTATACATTCGAAATTTCATATGTTCCCTCAGAAAATATGAGAACCCAGTTTTACCTAATAATTCATAACTCTTACTAATTTCTAATGTAAAGCTAAAATAACATTTTTATGGTTTTTACACTAATTTCCGTTAATTTGCTACTAACAATATTTAACAAAAGTATTCGTGTCATAAAATGTAATTCATAATTTTTTCAAGTTGCAACTTCTGATTTACAGAAAATGATGTTTGGATTAAATTTTAAAACGTGTCTTGCGCTTTGCTTTGATTTTTGTACATAACGATATCTTACACTAAAAATTTTTTCTTAACAACGTTAAAAGACAATTGAATTTTCGTTTTTTTAGTACCGATATATACAGGGTGATTCAGAAAGGTATACAACAACATATACCATTGGTTAGAGGGTCGAAAATGGGTAAAACTTTTGTTACGGAGTAGGTGCGAAATCTCAAGGGTTTTCGAGATACAGGGATTTTAACGAATTTTCACGAAATTTCTAGTTATCTAAGCTATTTTGATTATAACTTCCATTCCAAAAAGATAGGGGCTTCAAACAAACAGTTCCTGAAAGGTCTAGTAAAGGGCTTAAAATAAACACCTTATTTGATTATGTATTTTGTGTGCTTTCGAAATACCAATCATTCGAACTTTAGGAAAATCTGTCACATCTGCGACAGTGAAATAATTTAAAAGTTCACCAACTGGAATATTGTGTCATACAACATTATTATTAAATTATGCTGTTAGGAGAAAACATATTGAGTCCAAAACTTTAAAATTTGATTTTTTCAAATCTGCAAATTTTGAATTATGTCAGTTTTGCATTAAAAAATTAGCGAAATAGTTCGCATTAAAATCTTGATAATTTTCTAAAATTTTATTTAGTTATTGTTGAAGTAACGAAAATAATTTTGCTGTTATTGTATTTGTATGTTTTACTATACATACTCTCCTTCAATAGTTTCCGAGAATATGACCAATATTCTCGGACCAATAACTTTCGAAATCGTATATAGCAGCTACCATAAGGACTCATGAACTTTTCGTTTCGTTTTCACTATAGAAACACTGTATTCGTCTGGAAAAAATTTTCATGCTGCATAATATTATACCCATTAGAATCGTTATCTAAATCACGTCTAAATTAAATAAGGTTTGGCATAAAAATATACGCAAATTTAATTAACTGAGTTCTGAGAATGGTAACTTATTAGTGCGCACTTTATATGTACATATATCAAATCACTTTATTCATGTTGTTTACTGGCAATAAAATTTATCTAATTATGGGCTTAGACAGATTTGCAATTTTTAGTTTTGTAACTGTTTGATTTCTTATTAGTATTGCATAGGTTTATATTAAAGCGCGTATGATTCTCACATGCAATTGTATGATCTCATACATTTAAGCAATCAAATATTTTGCAAATGCTTAGAAGTGCAGGGCAACGATTTTGCAATCGAGCAGTAATTCCATACAAGTCTGAGCCCTATAACTACTTTCTATAAAAGTGTACGTACAGATATACGCATAAAATTTGCATATCCATACTTAGGTAATTATGCAAATATTGCTAGTTTTCATTTAAATTCACCACAAACTTAAAATTTTAGTATTAAATACTAAAAATATAAATTTTTATTTTATTAAATAAAATATTATTAATTATTTAATAAGTTATTCAGAGCTTATAGCACTTTATTGAGTTGCAGTTTATTTGACGGCAATCTAAAACCTTTAGGAACTTCTTGTGGTCGTTTATCTGTGAATTGATTTATTCCTTTTCTAAAAGTTTCATCACCAGCATCGTATCTCTTGTTATGTTCTATAATTTCCTTTTTAGTTGCTTCATAAATTTGACGTCTTATTATATCTTCCTCAGTGTCATATTCCTTATTAAATTTCCGTTTATAATTTTCCCATTCTTCGTCTGTTACTTTTGTATCACTTGATTTCACTGAAACCAGAGTTAAGTGAATCAAGTAGAGTAAAATGATGAATTTACAACAGTTAAATTTAAACATTTTTATAAGCAACTTCTTTTCTCTTACAACTTCAACAATTTAATGAAATAATTTATCTGTCTTCATTTTAATTTAAATATCTACATACATACAATGTAAATGATAAAGCCCTTAACCACAATTTTCCATTAAGATTTTACAATTTTTGTACTTAAGTAAGTATTATTATTTGTTTACTTTGAAAAGTTTTGATATGTTATTGTCAGTTTTGCTATATGAATATTTAAATAGGAATGACAATATTATCTAATGCGAGATTGGGACACTTTAATTTTGCGTGCCGTTTGATACAGTTATATAGAGTACTACGCTTTTAGAACGTTGAGCTCCAATGTGTTACTAATCAGCAAAATGGAAATTCTTCACAAAGCCTGTGTTCAGCGGTGCGCATAACAAAAATTATAGTACGTCCCATGTATACGTATCACATCTCTAAAACGCTAAAATTTGTTTTTGGTGTTCAATGATTTTATAAGTAACAGAAAAATGAAGTTAATTTCTGAGAAGAAAAAATCCGAAAATATATAATTATAAATTCTTAGATTATATATTAATTTCTCTAAATTTTGGAATTACACCTGTGATACAAGCGAGACATAACGTAAGATTTTTCTTCGTTCAGCGGTGAAATGAAACAAAATTTTGAGTACAAAATTCGCAAGTAAAATTACTGACATAAACATAATTTATTGCTAGTGTACGAAATTTAAATTGAATATTAACGTAGATCGTTTATTTATTTTAAATACTAAGTACAGGTTTGACTGTATATAACCTAAAATAGATTCTTGTTTTTCCAGATATAAATTCAAAATTCAATCGAACGATGTCCAGTTGACACAAATCTTCAAGAAGTTTTGAAAAATGACAAGCTATTAAATATTTTTATGACTTAAAAAAATTTTGAACTAGATGCTAAATTTTGAACTTTAAAAAGACAGTCCGGCCCGCATTTGTTCTTTTTGTAGCCTGTTCGACTAAGCTTTTCCATTTTATACTATTTTTTATTTTAAATTCACAAAATGTCTTTTTTTCCATCTGTGTGGAGTATCTCAAAATTCTGACTGCAAACAAATGCGGCTGTTTTAGAATAAAAAATTTTTATTTGTCAAAATCTGCACTTGTTTAAATATCAAAATCTTATTACTCAACCCAGTTTACTTCTTTTAACGTCTTTTAATGTTAACCAGTTTACTTCATTCAATGTTAAAACGTGTATTGTTTGAGGAACTTTATGGATTATTGTTTTTTTTCCTTAATTTTTTGGGGTCCGCACACGCAGTATCCCAAATTCTAGTGTAACAATTTGATTTATTATCCCAAATTTATAATCCCCATTTCTAGCAATTATATACAAATATATATACTTATAGTAATTAGTTTCTTAGTAACGGGTATCTATGCTACAAAGATAGTAAAGTTATTACAAAGTTTTGTTAAAAAATTATTTCAAATTTCAACTTAGTTCCAAGCAACAAAAACTTGAAAGAAATATGAATTTTTATTGTCCAATATAAGAATACTTTTGTGTGTTTATTGAAAATTCTTATCACGTTGTATAATTGAATGCATGTTTGCGGTTACAAACTAAATTTAAGTAAAAACTGTGTAACACAAAATTTGCTTGTTATATTGTTGGCAAAAAAATTTATAATAAAATTGAAAATAACTTTCAACTGTAGAATTCTTTCATTACGTTTTGTTTTTTTTTTTAAATAACGACAAATGTCCATGATTAATAAGAATGCGGCTCCATTTTTTAAGAATAGAAGATCATTATCTAATTTTTATAGCAATTTGTTTTTCAAAATCTTTTGTTAATTGAAAAATAAAACAATTCTACAGATTAGAGGTGAACAAAATTTTTATATTTTGATCTGGCCAGCAAAAATGAAGAAAAATAAAATTAAATGATTTACGGTCCTACAGAACAAAATCAACCAAAATTTGAAACGGTTCAAGCAGATTCTCGCCATTAAAACTGCCAGTCTTATGTAACCAATGAGTTTTTTATATTCGAAACAAAATTTTTACAACAACAATCTTAATTAAAGTGCAGTTTAAGAAAGCTTTAATGGCCATTTTAGTTATCGATTTTTAAAATCAATATTTAAATAAAATATTTTATTTTTAATAAATTTTTTGTCCTTTTAAATCCGACTACAATTTTTTTTTTAATAATTTATTCAGAAACTTAAAACTTTATATAATTAGATAATCATTTTTTTTTATGAGGACTGAGAAAAAAGTAAATAAAAACAAACCATTAATATTATTATTTTTTTATATTTAGAATTCCGAGCAGAAACTGGTATAACTTGAAATTAATTTTATTTTAACAAATTTTACAGGTTTATAAAAAAGAAAACTGTCGTTAATCTTTGTATTAATACTCGTATATGTATAAGTTTTTGTGATAAGAAAATGAAGATTTTTTTTTAAATTAATTTAAATAGCAATTTCAAATTGTCCTCATTTTAATTCCGATTCATAACAGTACGTAATAATGAGAAAGGTTTATTGTTGCTGCATTTAGCTACATGAAGCCTGAAATTTTAAAAGCTTTAAGATACTAACAAATAGTTCAGTTTCTTAGAAAAAAAAAAATTTTCTCACTCCACCCCTCTGAAGCTGTCATCTATCAAAATTTCTAAAATTTCGGCACCTTATTTCCGAAACTGCAAACTTTTCCAAATTTCTATAAATGCAGAAAGTTAACGGTAAGTGCCATGCCATCAAAAAATGTAATCTTTTTTAACCTACGCAATCAAGCCTTAAATTCAGGTGTTGTGAGTCTTTCAATTTTTTTTTTACTTCATCCTAAATGTATGCAATCCTTGAAATATTTCATCATGAATAAAAGCGTTTTAAATAATGCAGATTGTTTTTAAAAACAATATTTTCACTTGTTAATCGGAAATGTGCTACTTTACAAATCATTAGTTTGACCCAACTTTATTTTAAATCTTCGTTTTCTACTATATGCTATAAGCTTTTCTTTTTTTCTACACTTTATAGCTCTTATTTACTGTTAACTTCGTTGTCAACTTATTTTATTAAATATTAATAATTAGCGACAAATTAAATAAAATTCTAATACTTTCATCACCTAATACGATTTTCACCTAATATTATAGCTTACAGATTTTGGTGAATAATGAACTTTTTCTGCTAAATTAACATAAAATATCTATAGCTCATAATATTTTCACTTTGATAAAAAATCTGCATACTTATATGCAAAAATGTGACAAGATAAAACGAAAAGCAACAGTACTTCATTCAAATATACTTGAAATATGGCATACAAACTTGATGTTTTAGGAATATGGTATGTTTTAGGAGTGGTTTATTCAAAACTGATAAATTCTATATATAGTTCTCGCAAAAATGCTTTTATTCGAATTCACCACATAAAGTTTTGAAAATAGAGTATATTTTTATAATTTATGAGAGCTCGAGTACTGTCATTAAACAGTAACCACAATTTCAATAACACTTCATTGTGAAATAGACTTTGGTAAGTATTTGTAATATGTTTATTGTTTTATAACATTTTTATAATGATATACTTATGTACATAATGTATATTATATTTTTTTGGTTTACTTATACGAGTTTTTATAAATCACAGTAAAATTTTCATACACCGAGCAACCCACACAATAAACTTCTTTAAGTAACGAACAATTATTGCGGCGTCTGTAAATTTACAATTTTTCCAAGTAAAACCCATTCTATACATATAATAAACTGATTTAACTTTCTATCCATTTAACTTTTTATCCATTTATAATACTTAAAAAATTACCATATTCCAAAAGAAAATAAAACACGAAAATGCTTCGTGGATTTGTATACATTTGCCATAAACTCACTGACATTAGATGACAAATTCAATTTTAATTCATACAATGGGTTGAATTTTAAAAAATATGTGTACATATATCTTTTTATTAATTTTATATTAAGCGAGCTTTTCTTTATTATACGAACTCAATATTTGAATTTAGATGGTTCGTTATATTGAAATTTCACTGTGATGAAGTTATCTGACTAAATTCCGATAAATTAATAAATACCATTTTTTCATAATACATTTATGTTATTTTTTTAGTTTCAATATAATTGCATATTATGCATAAACTTTTATAAATTTTATTAGTAATTTTTATCACATTGATTGTATTGAACATTTTTTTAATATTGTCTTTAAATATGAAAAGTGTTTCATTTAACAAATATTTTTAAGACAATCTTAATCATGTTGTTTCTTTAAACCGCGTGGAACTTCATCGGGTTTTCTGTCTGCGAATTGATTAAATCCTTGCGAATATGATACTTCGCCAGCATCAAATTTCTTGTTATGCTCTATAATATGTTTTTTAGTTTCCGTATAAATTTTACGTCTTTCAGCGTCTTCTTCAGCCTCATATTGTTTTCCAAATTCTTTTTTATAATTTTCCCATTCGTCATCAGTAACTTCTAAACTATCTGATGGTTCATTTGGACGTGACGAAACCAAAATAAAAGTTAAGCTCAATAGAAGTAAAATTGTGAAACTGTGTAATTTCAACATTTTTATGAAAATCGTTCTTTTTCTCTTCAAATTTCAAACAATAATGATTAATTTTTTACCTGCTTTTATGTTAATCTACAGGAATTTTTTCTCAAAGATTCAACAATCAATAAATTAATTTCAAGTTTTAAGTTTTTTTTTAAATAATTTTTTTTTTTTTGAAATTTATGTGAAAAGGTTCCAATGTGTTGTATGTCCCAAAATTATTAAATTTAAATTAAATTAATCAAATTTTGGATATTTCTAAAATATTTTCTTGTGTATATTTTAAAATTTCTCATTTAGTGTATATATTTTGGGTGCAGTAAACTGAAGTGAACTGAACAACAAATTGTGAAAGTACTGAGGCCAGAATGCCTTCACTAGCGAGTTTTATAAATTAAATTTTTCTAAGTGAATTACTTTTTCCATTAATTTACGATTTATTTTCATTTGTATACAAAATCTTAAATATATGTACTCTAAGATTTTTGGGACTTTTTTCCATTAAATACAAATTTGTAACACAAAATAAATTTATTTTGTGGGGGGGGGGGTTAACAAGTTTAATCATTCAAAGCAAATATATTATATAACTTTTTTCAAAACTTGTATATATGTTTGTCTGTATTTAATGTGTAGATGGTTAACGCGACCTTTTCATTAAAAAAAACAAGAGGAAAGCTTTTTTAAACCCTAATTTAAATATTTTATTAAAAATTATTTATTGTTAATTAAATAGATTTTTTTCCAAGTTGTTTATTTTTTTCATGCTTGTTGCACTTTGTTTTGCTGTCTAAATAATTTTTTTTGTCTAATTTTTTTCGATTTTTGATTTGTATTTTAAATTAAAGCTTTAACAAAACTTACAAGTCTGCAAAATACTTTATTTAGAAAGCTACGGCGTGGCATCATAATAAAATAAACATTTATAATTTAATTTTTAATTTATTCATACTTAATTTCTTTTTTTTGAATAACTTAATAAAACGAAAAAGTTACAATTGCTATGTTTTGTAACAAAGTAGAATCATTTGCGAATGTTGTGCGAAAAAAAACTTTAACCGAAAAAAATATAAAGAAAGCTTTATCATTGCAATAATGACATTTTTAATTTAAATTTTTCGAAAATCCTTTTATTGTGTTACAATTTTACTAAATAGTATTTGGAAGTCTCAATGCAGTTGTAATGTTAATTTGACCTGCTTACCTGTGTAACAATAGTTGCTGATTAAAACAAGCTGCACATTAGTTGGCACATAACTACAGGTAATTCCTTTTTGGCACAGCGATTCCTGCTTACAGCTCCTTGTGAAACTTATTTTTTGGCGCGTTCTACTTTTAATTTTTGCAATTAAGATAATACTTTGATATCCCCAAAATAAATACCAAATTTGATGTATTAATTTATTTTTCAGTGTTGCAATTGCAGATAATGCGGATACAATTTAAGTAATGATTGAAAAATGTGGATAATGATACATTTTTAAATAACTCCAATATTTTTGGAGCCTTTTCAAAATTGATCCATCATTTATAAAATGAAAAATTAAATATCGTCAAACGCCTCTTACTCAAACTCTCTAGAAGTTAAATTTCTCTTTAAATTGAACAAAATTTTATTTTTTTCACGCTCTTAAACAAGCTTTTATTTGCTTTATGCTCTTAAGCATTTTATTGCATTTTATGTATTCGAACTTTACTGTGACATTCATAGTGGTTCAAGCTAAAAAGGTTTCACTGTGTTTATATATTTATTTTATAAATCAGAACAAAAAATATTTTTATGCACATACCAATTTTATTATATAATTATTTTGTGTATATTTTTACATTGTATATGATTGATTTAAAATTCAGGTGAAAATATATGATCTTAAATTTTTAACATTGTATTTACTACACTTATTGTAAAAATAAAATAAATATCTTATACACAATTTAACAATTATAAACTACTCTAAAAAGTAACTTGTTATTTACCTAAAGCCTTTTTCATACAACCACCCGCTTCTTCAGGTTTTCTATCGGCAAATTGATTAATACTCATTGCGAATGGTACTTCGCCAGCTTTAAATTTTTTATTATGTTCTACTATTACTTTTTTACTTGCTTCGTATATTTTACGTCTTTGCGAGTCTTCAGTCGGACTATAATTTTTTTGAAACTTCTTTTTATAATTTTCCCATTCTTCGTCAGTAACGTCCAAGCTATCTGTTTCTTCAATTTCGGCCATCACGTGTTTTAAAAATGAACTTGTAAGTACAATAAAAAGTTAAGACAATAAAATTTTGCCTTATAATTGCAGCTTAATTTTAAAATGATTTTCGAGTAAATATCTTACAAAATATAATAAGATTTTTTTTGATGCTTCCCTTTTTATATTAAAAATTGAATTGAATTTTATATCGGGTGATTTATGGATTTCTTTTTATGTTAATAAGCTATATAGATAAGGCTTTTAACATGATTTTTATTTTTATGTAGGATTCATAAAATTATTTATTTTTAGATCTTGAACTGCAAAGAAAATATTATAAAATAATTTGTTGGAATTTGCATGGGAAGTATTCACATAATTTAAAAAATTGAATCTAATATTTAATTTTTCTAAACATTTAAAAAAACTTACAACAGTTCATACTGTTTAACCCTCAATTAAGAGTGTCAACTAATGACACTACACATATTTATATTATACATAAATTTGGAAACTAATGACTTAAATATATCAAACAAGCATAATATTTAATTGCAAGCTTCATAGAGAAACAAATAAAAGCTAACAACATGAGCAAAATAAATTTGCATGTATATATTTACTCTTATAAGTATTAATTTGCTCTATAAGCTTCTCTCCTGTTCAACGAGTTTTAACCGATAGTGACACATAAAGTTTGCCGTATTTGTCATGCTATACATTTCAAGCAACATTTGCGAGTCTCTGCAAACCAGCGTAAATAATGATGAATTACAATATACCTATAATATGCAGATTATATAAATCCAATTATTTTCAGATATTGTCATAGTGAAATTTGAGTTTTTTACTTAAAGGTTAAAAAGAATTAATAATAATTCCAATTACTTTATTTATTTTTCTAATCTAATGACAGCATAAATATAAATTTCATTTAATTCCAAATACATTTAACACATAAAATAGCATTAAAAGCAGCTGTAAAAAATAAATAAAGCTTTCAAAAGTGTTTGTTCTAAAAAATATCGTAAAAAAACATAGAAACATTTCTATATCTTAAATATATTGTGTGAACTTGTATAGACATTCAATATAATACGAGTATTTCTCCAATTTCAAAAGAATTGATTAAATTAAAGGTTTTTGTGAGATTTAATTATTATTTAACTAAGCATAGTTAAAATTACCTGAATTTAGTCAGTGATGAAAGTAAATCTATAAATTTGTACAAAAAAATTTTGTTTACCAAAATGCAGATCTAACGTTAATCAAAATTGCTAGAACAGATGCCAACATTTTCTGTACCTTCATACATATGGCAGCGCAACAAGTGTGGTAATAAAATTATGCAAACTTTTTAATATATGTATGTATGTAAATAAATGGCAAGTTCCCTTACATTTAAATTTTTGATTTTTTATGTAATGGGTATCTGGAGAACTCTTTGATTAATCATAGTTAATATTAGATAAAATAGATTTAATATAATTGGTTCCCTCAATATTGTTGATACAATTTTTTTTTGTTTAAATTTTTATTAAATTACAAAATCTGATTTTTAAAACAATTAAAAATATTTAAATATGAAATGTTAACTTTATAAGTAGGTTTATGCCTGCAGTGAAGCATCTATAATTAAGACTGCAGCGAAGTATATATTATTTGCATACCCTTTATAAATTGTAACATTCTGGGGCTAACCTGAATTTATTTTACAAACGTGATTTTATAAAAATGTCGCTTTTATATTATAAATAAGAGAATGTCGGTTTTATTTCCCATCAATGAGTTGTTCTAACACCTATATAATTTATAACTTTTTAGGTTCAAATCACAAACCTAACTACTAAAATCAGAAACCTAAATACTACAATTTAGAAACCTAAAAATTGTTTTATTTTCAATTGTATAAAAGTAGAATAGTAGATTTTCTTACTTTTAAATTCGATTCATGGAAAAGGAATTAAGCATTCACATATTTCCCCAAGAATTTATAATGTAAATGGAAGCAATTTTTATCAAGAAATTTTAAATAAAATTCTTCTCCGCTTTCTTTATAATTTTTAAATCTGTTTATTTTAACATTTTTTATTAGGCAGCTGTAAAAGTTATAAGTGTTCTCTTCTGTACTTTTATCAAAAGATGTCGTACATTTTAATTACATTATTTCATGAACTTTTGATAACCTCAGTATTCGTCCATTAATTTTGATACAGATGTATTACTAAAAAATGAATCAATTTAATCTTTCCAAATAACATTAAATTTAGAAAATTACTTAATACATGACATTGTCAATCTATAATTCACAGTGACTTTAACAACGTTGTATTTCACACCGTAACGTTTTTGAATTTTTATTCCTTTTAACAAAATGTTTAAATCTAGACATTGTAATTTTTTGTTTGTATTTTGTTTAATAACATTATTTGTGGTTGTTGTTAGATCAGAATCGACGGATGTAACTGATGAAGAATGGGAAAATTTCAAAATTAAATTTGAGAAAAAATATAACTCTGAAGAAGATGCTAGAAGGCGTAAAATTTATGAGGCAACTAAAATAGACGTTATAAAACATAATAAGAGATACGATGCCGGTGAAGTTTCATATACACAAGGTATCAATCAATTTGCAGATTTGAAACCAGAAGAAGTTCATTTTGGGGGCATAAAATCATAAAATAAACTTTGTATAGAAAACATATCTAATTCTATGTCAAATGTTAAATTACAATACTTTAATGAACATAGTTTAATTTTTGCATATCTAGATTTTTGTCAAAATTGAAAATAATATTTGTACAAATATGTATACTACATATATAAACATATAAATATAACCTTAATTAAATAAAAATTAGGTATTTTCATGTTAAATTTCAAACTTAAAATTTATATATTATTTTCTTTATTTAGAAAAATATTTGTTTTTACAATGAAAAGATATAAGAAACTTCATGACCCTCATCAATTTGCAACAAATTGCGACTCAAATTTTCATTTTCGAGTTTTCGTCAATTAGTCATACATAATATAAGCTATTTATTTCAGATGGCGGTACAATTTTGAGACCCGACCCCAGGTATTAAAAATAAATAACTTCTTGAGTAGTTTTAAAAGCGAATAGCGGCGCTAAATCATGATCTGAATTATTTATGCCATTTTATAATTTTGCAGAGACTGAATATCAAATGATTAAGCGAAATAAATTGCGATCATAGCTACCGAAACTTTGTGAGTGTCCAAAAAAAAATAAGATTTGGACAATTTTTTTAATTTACTTTTGCAGTTTTAATTTCAATTTTAATTAATATTCGATTCTGAAAACATACCTACAAAATATTTCTTCATGTAAAATTAAATATATTCTGAAGTTCTGAAAATGATCAAGGAAACAAATTCGGATTTCAAAAAATTGCACTTATTAAATGTTATTAAATACCATTCAGCTTTCCCACCCAATTAAATTACTGAAAGAAAAATTAAAACAAATAAATTTTATTATTAACACGTTAACGAAAAAAGGATTTATTTTCTTTTTCAATTAAATTTCACATTTTTAACTAAATTTTTATTTCTTTTTCCTTTTACATATTATATGTAATATATAATATATTTATATATATATATATTATATAATATATATTTGCTTATATTTAATTATTATTACTATAATGTAGTTAGTATTACTTGTCAACTTACATTTAAAGGAGAAAAGGATAAGCATTATTTATAAATGATTTAAATGTGTTTGTTTGTTTTTTTTTCGTAATTCTATCCTGCTTTGATGGTAACCTTTATTGATATATCCTTAAAATAAAAAGAAAAACTGAACAAAAAAGTTATCAAACTTCAAAATAATTAGATGCTAATTTTATTTTTCTTGTTCTTTCAAATATTACTTTTTATCACAGGTTAATTATAAATTTCTAATAAAAAAAGTAACAAGAAAATTTTTATATAATACAATATAAAAAATATTTGGTCTACAAATATATTAATTACTTAGTCGTAGATTGCGACTTATCGTAAAATATAAGCGAATACTTGTATTGTGGCGAAAAATTTACATTAAATGAGAAAAAATTCGTATGCAAATCAATAAATATTAAATTAAATACATATAAATATAATAAATTTTATTTAAAAATGAAGATTTAAATGATTAATTAATAACATTTTTGAAAGCAAAGCGAAAGCATAATATAATGCATATAATATTTATTTTATATAAAACAAAATAGAAAATTTTATGTGAGAAATTTTATATGAGATATAAAATGAGATTTATATGAGATATAAAATGAGATTACAACAATTAAAATAAAATACTGATTTCAAAATTATCACCCATATCCTCTAAAACGAACAACTTGAATGAATGAGATATTATATCAATTTCGAAATTTGAAATTCACTTAATTTTTTCAAGTGATTCGTCTTCTTAGAAAACTTAGAGAATATGGATATGTGTTAAATCTTATCAATCCTATGTAATTGTCTCAAATAAAATATCAATCTGGCCAATGACAAGAAACAAAGAAGAATGTAATTTCTTTAGCAAATTAATTAAATTCCAAATTTTAATTAAATTTTGTGTCTTAAACTTAATTATTTGTAAATGTTTTGCTAATAATATCATTTACATATAATAATATGTTTTATTAAACACATAAAAAATATTAAAATTCAAATGAATTAAATGAAACCATAGAAGTTAAACATATATAATTTATTTTGTTTATAACTATGAAAATCTAACTTAAGTAAGAACTATAAATGGAAATAAAAATATGAAAATATTATACACATTATTGAGTATTAATTAATAAATAATCACCACATATAACAATTATTTATTCAATATTTTGTTGCTTATATTCTTCAATTTAAATTATGTTAGTACACAAAAATGAATTATAATGATATGTCCAATGAATTTATTTATTTATTATAGTTTTCTCAAAGCAGGATAGATTTAAATATTACATACAATATGGATAAAATTAATTGTATAATATACACTTTATTAATTTTTAAAATTGTTAAAAATTTTTCTTTTTTCTTGTGATTTTTTTTTATTTTTTTTTTTAGTTTTTTGAGAAAAAAAATTAATAGTCCAAAGAAATTAACATTAATATTTCTATTAAAGCAGTGGTTCTATTTGCTTATAAAATTTAAAAAAAATAAACAAAATTATGAATATTAAATTTAAATATTTCAAATTTTCAAAATTCAAATTGTGAATAAAGAAAATAAAATGAATTGTAAGTGTTTTAATACGATAATTTGTTAAAACATTTTAATTAAAAAATAATTGTATTAAATATGCAACAAAAGCTAAATCAAGGTTTACACCTATTTCTATTTTATAAAAATTCTTTGAACAGAAAATTTTACTTGTTATATTTAACATAACATTAATAGTAAAGTTATACAGAGAAAAAATTAAAATACAATTATTATGCTTGCTAGTACATATTCCTCACTTTTATAAAAAATATAATTTTAATACAAATATAAATCTAATTAATTACAAATACAAATATATTATATATTAAAAGTATTCTTCTTCAGGATACACTAATTAAGAATATGTATATAAAAATTAATATAAATCAATAATGGATAGAATATGTCTAGAAATCCGAAAACTTCAATTAGTAATTCTCATACTTTAATTTTATTACTATATTTTGACAATATTTTATCATTATTTCATCTTTAAATAAATTATCAAATTAGATACATTGAAATTATATTGAGAAGAAATGCAATTATGAGAAAAAATTTAAATAGATTTGCAAAAAGGATTTCTTATTTTTGACATTGAATAAATAATATTGTAAAATGCATTTCTCTTCTTCACAATTTATTGTATTGCAGCGAATTTATTTATGAATTATTAGTGTGACAAAAAGGAATAGTTGCTAAAATTGATTATTGCTTGTTTTTATGAATGCAAAAAATTAATATTTGCATAATTTCTTATCCTCTTCTTCGTAATTTCTATGAATCGACAGCAACACTAAGACTCAAAAGTTGTTAGTTGTTTTTGAGGATTTCACATTTTGTATAATTTAGTGCAAAAAATTTTAGACGCCAAAGTTTATTTAGGTTTTTATTATAAATTTGTAGATTTAGTTACGTTAGACTTAAGTAATTTTTGTTCATTATTACTGGAGTGTAAGAAGACTTTGAATGAAATTTAGTTTTGCTTAAGTTTTAGACAAGTTTAGCTAATTACGTTGTAAATTTTCTGTGATAAATTTATATTTTAGCGGTTATTCCACATGTCAGTTTCTTTCTTTAAAACTTTAGCGTTTAGGAAATTTTGAAGAGCCAAAATAAATGATAAGTACACCAAATATTTTTCGGTCATAGATTTGTACATTGAAAAGACTATAACATAATTATCGAATTTTGGCAAAGTTGCCTAATGCGATTATTCCTTTTTGACAGTTAATTAATGTGAATTTCTTAATATTAAAATATTTTTGAATTCTGTTCTTTGACTTTTCCTGAAGAAGATTTTTTTAGTAATTCTAAAGCAATAATTATTGTTCTTTGCGACTTTTAAGTACATTTATACATTTTATATTATTGTTAAAGTTAATTTGGTTGGTATTGACTTAAAAACTAGTTCCTTCAATTTCTATTTGTTTTTTTTTCCTTTTTATTATCAATTATTTTATAATATTATTGTGAGTCTTTAAGAGTATTAATTTAATCGAGAACTATTTAAATTTTATTTAGTAAAATAAATTACAATTCATGTGTTCGACTTAATGAAACAACACGAAATTAAATTGGTAATTTTCCTCGATACTATATTTACGATAACAGAATAGACTAGCAAGCATTTAACTTTAGTCCAACAATTTAAATATTTTTTTTTTGTTATATGATTTTTTATACCTATTATACGTATCAGAAAAATAAACGAAATCTCTTAAAATTATTTAAAATTTTTTTTATATAATTTTAAATACTTAAATTTTGCCGACCAAAATCTTAACAGATATTTTTGCTAAACTAAGTCTAAAAATTTACATACTAATATTTTTATTTTTTTTTTTATTTTTTTTTTTTTTTGTATTTACATGTAAGTTCTTTTTTCTTTATCTATTTTAGTTCTTTATAATCTAACATTCATGTATTTAATTTCACGTACGAGTATACCAGTTATATTACAGTTTTTTTTTTAGTTTTTTCTTTATTTATTTTTTTAATTCTAAGGAACGCGTATTATAATCTAAAATTTAAAAACACCTTTGGATGTGAATATTAATGTGGTTGAAATGAAAAAATTTTTTGTTACAATATAAAAAGTACTGTACAAATGCGCCTGTATTATGAATTCTGTTTTATGAATGTGTTTGTTAGATTGTATAACTTTCTCCAAAAATAAAATACTTTGCAAAATTGTTAGATTTCCCCCAAAGAAAAACAATGTCGAATAAAAAAAAGCCATTTTGAAGAAGAGCCAAGTTCCTACTTTAAAATAAAGAAAATATTTAGAATTTTTAATCTTTATTGAAGAAGTCAGAATAAAGCATTTCGACCTTCTTCTATTAAAATCAAAATGTTGCTTTTAAAAATTTTCAAAAGACAATCTATTCTATAAACAATGTTTTTACAAAAGTTTTACGTGGATTAAGCTCACTTTCAATTAAACTTATTGTGCCTTTTTGGCGAAATATTTAATGCTTGATCTAATCCATAGTTTTCTAACAAAAAATCCTTTTTTAATTAAAGATTTCCCCAGATTATCTTCATGTGGAACCCCCCATTGTTTTAAAATAATGGTTTAACATTATGTAGGTTTTGAATTACATACAAATCTTAATTGTTTAAAATATAGTACAATTATTTTAAAAAGATATATTTTAACTTTGTCCAAATTATTTAAATTTAAACATTAAATTTTTTAAATAATATGGTGATATAAATTTACTATAATTTTCTACATTTGCGATAAAAATAATGTATTGTAAGTGTTAAATATACTTTAACATAGAAAAGCAAATTTTTTTGGAATTTTTAAGACTTGATTAAAGTAAACTCAAAATAAAACTATACTTTTCCAAATAAATACCATTCAATTAACCTCAGAAGAAAAATTAAAAATTAAATTAAGATCAAAGGAAAATTTTTATGATTACAATACAGTGTTGAGACAGTTTTTTTTTCAACTTTTTACAATCGAAGGATTTTGTGTTGAAGGAAATCATGAACAGAACAGAACTAAATATAATTTTTTTAAAATATACTTTTTTTTTATTAAAAATTTGATTTTATGAAATTTGACACTTTATATTTTCACTTATCATTTAATCAGATTATTTTTTCAATTAAATTAAAATTACATATTCTTTTTTTTAGTTTTTCTGAAATTTGAATTATTACATTTAATCAGTTTAATAGTCATATAATTTCAAACTTGAACTATTCAGTTTCGATGCTATTTTATTTAAATGGTAATAAAAAGTCATTTGCACAGCAAATAACATAACTATGTTAATAAATATTACAAGGCAAAATACTCTGCATAACATATTTTATTGAAGAAAATTAATTATGTTCGATATTGGATTTTGATATCTGAAATGCAAGTATTTTAAATATTAATTAACAATAAATTTTAATTTATTAATTTTGTAAAATATTTATTCCGTGACTTGTTGTAATATTTTTTATGTATTCAAGTTTGAGAGTTTTGACCATGTAAGTAGATGACTACAAATATATGTATATGTATATATTTTGCATTCTTATAATGCTTTTCAACAAATATTGTTAATTCTTGTTGCAAAATATCAAATCTTATTAAGGATATTAAAAATTTATTACATTTTTTTTAAATTTTATAAATATATTGTAAGTTTTTAAGTTAACGATTGTAGAAGTTTAATCGTTGTGCTTAATGTGTAAATGTGTGTATTTGAGTGGGTTTAATGTTATTAATTTTACTGTGTTATAATTTAGTTTTCTAATTTAAATTAATAATATGGCGTCTATACAATATTTTTTTTAAAAGAGAAAAGTAAATAAAGTTAATAAGATAACTTGAATACAATTTTTTTTTTTTCAATTTTTGATTTAAAAAAGAAACAAATACGAAATAAAATACAATTTTAAAACAAAAAAAAATAGAATCATCTTACAAAATTAATTTATAATACTATAAGCGATTTTTACATATTTCGAATATCATTATTTTTTTGAGAATAAACAAATTCTAAAATTTTTTATTCGTGATGTAATTAAAGCAATTAATTAAAATTAAAAATTTTAAGAAAAATTTAAATGATCTTAAAGTTTAAATAACAACTTTCTTAAATATGACGTCTCACCAACTTTGTATTCAAGAAATTAAAAAAATAAAAATTAGAGTGTATTAAAATTGTATTTGTTATAAATTAACTTAAGCATTAAACAGACATTATTTTTTAAAGATGCACTAGAAAATTATTATGGTAGAATATACAGGATCGCAAAATATTTTTTGAAGAACAAATTAAGATATTTGACAAATAGAAACTATAATTATTTTCCAAGACATTCTTGTTAATATTTTAGAAAACCTGAATAAATTCTAAAACAATTCAATATTACACGATTAATTTTTTAAGTAGCCAAATGCTAATAAGACACAGATTCATTTTATAAAAGTATAAAACATGTTCACTTTATTTAAAGTATTTTTTTCAATTTTGATTGAATATCCAAAATTTTTGAACATTGAAACTACAATACATTTGAAATTACCATTACTGTAACTATTTTTTAAAGAATGTTAATTAAAGAATTGTAGATTGGCATTGTAATAAATCAAAATTTTCATTTCAAGTTATGGTAAAATCATTGAATACTAAACAAATTAAATGAATGAGATCAAGCAAGGATATCACAACATATTATACAATAAAAGATTGTGTTTTTTTCTTACATCAAATTATTTTGATTTTTTGTTTTAGTTCATAAATACGAGTTAACGTTCAAATCATAATTTACAAAAGTCATATGAAAAAGAGTAGAGGGTGCAACAAATCTCTTTAATTATAAAGCCATGAAATTAAATTTAATTAATGAATTTTTGAAAAGATTTTCTGTCTGCATTTGGTAAACGGTGCAAAAAAAATTCTTATTTCAAAATAGTTATAATCTTTAATTAATTCTTAAGGGTTGATAAAAAGACTGATATGAATCAATTAATGGTACAAATCAGCTAGATGTAACATAGCAATGTGGAAATTAATGTTAGTTTAATAACTTAACTATGTGAAAATTGAATCAGAAGAGTGCAAGAGATTCAAAAGTCTTAAGTTTCTTTAAGAAATTAAAAACTATTTTTCAACAGCAAAACGTAGCTGATAACGCTTCAAATTAATTGAGATTCAGATCAACATGTCAACAAGCATAGTTACTCAGTGTACTTCAACTAGCTGTTTTATTTCTTATATTTTTATCGCATATTTTATTTTTAAATATTATTTATTTTAGTTGGTTCTACTATTTTATCTATACGTTTTGCTGACATAAATAACAATAATAAATAAAATCATAATCTGTATTGTAAAATTAATGTTTAGTTAGGGAATTTTATTTTTTGTGTTTATGTAAAAACTTTGCATTTGTTAGGAAAATCATGAGATTTTATCAGATGTAATTATATTTTAAATACTGTTATTTATATTTATGTATGTATGTATGAGATAACTATTTTTATGTACTTTAACAATAAATTTGTTTTTTGTTAATAAATTTCTACTACAAGAAATTGGTGAATTTACATTTTGTTATATAGTTTACTAAAAAGCAAATTTGCCTTAAAATTTTGCAAAAATTTTGAACATTTAAAATAAACACTAAAATTTAAGAATGTATTAATTTGTGTATAACATTTTTTTTTAATTATATTGTTCAATTGAATAGAATAAAACAATTTAAAATATATTTTCAAATTAATATTTAAAAAAAGTACAATTTCTCAATTCTATAATTTTCTTAAAATTTCATTAGAATTTATTTATTCTCATTTTTATTTTTAAATATTTACTAAAGCTTGTATTTGTTTTTTTTTTCCTTTTTAATATATTTATTTTTTGAGATTACAATTTAAAATCGTTAAATTTACATCTTAATCATTTAAAATGTAAATTAATTGATGTAAACGCTGTTAATTGTGTTTTTTTTTCCTTTTTTCATTTCTGTTTTAACTAATTTGCTTGTTTTAACTTCAATTATTTGTATTTATTATATTTTATAACTTCATTTAAGATTTTATATGTTTTTATATTTATAATATGATTTTTTTTTTCATTTTTCAACTGTATATATATATATGAAGTTATTACATTATATTCTATATGCATTTATATTGAAAATAAGTTTATGTTCATTTCAGTTTTTATTTGATTTAATTTTTCTTCTATTTTTTTTTATAAATTTCTTGAATCCTTTCTTAAATATTTTATCAGCTTTTAATTATTTTTAGTTTTGGGTTGCGTTATTATTTTCCTTTCTTGTAATATAATCATATAATTATAATGCTAATCACCATTTATATTTTTTCTTACACGTTTACATTATTTTCATTAAGTTTTTCTATGTATAAATATAATGTAATTAGATATATATATATATATATATATATTTATATATATATGTATATTTCAGAATTTAGTTTAAATAATTATATACATATATATATTCATACTTATATATTTTTTTTTAATTATATCATTCGTTTTTATTTGATTTTCTAAAATAAATATTTTTTTTTTAAATAGTAAATTTTTTTTTTATGTTTTATATAAAGAATTTATTGTATTATAATAGTAATAATAATAATTATAATAATAATTCATTAATCAATTTACTATAAGATCTAGTTACAAAATACAACAGGCCGTTGAACAGCATCTACTAGAACCACCTTTACTTTTTTGCCTTTGATCTAAAAATAAAATATTTAAATTAGAAATTTTAATAAAAATGATTTTAATTAATCGAATTACATTATTAATTTTTATTTTAATTATTCAAAAATTTTTACCTTGAGAATTAGGCTCAGGCAAATTATCTCTTGGAACTAAATGCATAACAGTTGTTTTGCCAAGTGGAAGTCCTAATGCACCTAACGTTACGTTGCAATGTAAAAATCTACCTTGATATATAAGACGAAGAATTTCAGCTTTAGAAACAAGCTCAGATTCCCAATCTAAAAAATAAATTAACATTTAATAAAGAAAATTATTAAAATATTAAATTTTCAAAAGATATTTATATTCTTTAAATTTTCTATAGAGAGATGATGTAATTCATAAAGATTAATTGAGTGGCTTAATTTAGATACAAAAGCGAGTTTTTACCGTTATTTGTGATACATGTGGAATCACTAATATTTATTTTATTTTGCCAAAAATATTTTTTCCCGATTTTTTTTTTAGTATAGAAAATGTGTTTGGGCTTTTTGTTATTTTAAATTTTTTAAAAAATCAAAATAGCCTAACCTCTCTGTTGATTAGGATACTTTGGCTCCATGAAGTTACAAAAATTTAATGAAATGTCAAAGTCTCAAAAGAAGCAATAAAACTTAAATGTGAGTTAAATCACTCTACTTCTGATATATTACAGTCAATTATGATTTAATATATATAAAATGTTTCAACTAAAATGTAAATAAGAGAATTAAATAACAGCTAAATTTTAACTATTTAAAATATTTAAACACTATAGGCATATGGATAAGTTATCTAATGCTATTTATCAAATTTTCAATGCATAAATTTAATTGCCACGCCTAAACTGTTATAAAATTAATTGATACATATACATATAATATGTATATGTATCTAGTTATTTCTAAAATTCAAATAATACACATTACAGATTGAATCAAAATGCCATTCTTAGACGAAACCAAACCAACTCTATCAATCTTAATTATCAAGTTTAATTAAAATATTAAAGTAAGTAACAAATATGAAGTTATTTTGTTAATAAGTATACTTATAAGATTTAATAGAACAATGAAATTTTATGAATTTCAAATCTGACCTTTTTTTATCTAATATTTTTTTTAGCTTTTTGACTGTTTACAATAAACATGTACATTTTGAAACTCATAAATAACAAAATTATATTTAAAAAAAAATTCTTATGATTTTGCGCTCAAAAAAAAATACTAAAAACTGGCATTCACTTTTTGATATTGATAAGTGCCTCTTATCTGGCCATGTTAAAACAAAAATATCAAATTTTAGTATAAGTGCGTTTTTATGTACGTAGTTGCTGTTTACAAAATGTGTAAAACAAATATGTACATAATAATTGGCAGATAATAAGTCAAATAATTACAGTATACATTTTACAGAGCTTGTGTGCTGATAGAAGGAACAAATTTAATTTAATTTTATTTTATGTATGTATGAAATACAAAACTCAAAAAAAATAAATATAGGACCATATCAGTTTATGCAAAAATAGCTAAACAAATCGTATACGAGTAATTTTTATAAAAACGTAACTTTATTTAAGATTACTGTTAAGTCCAATTAAATTTTTGCGAAGTCGTTATGAACTTCTGAAGTTTTCAAATAATCAGTATTAATGTTAATTTACTAATTGGAGCTTAAAATGCAAAAGAAACACTTATACAACAAAAAACACACACTCACTTAAATATTTGACAAATTTTTTTAAGATTTATTACTACCAAATTTATCAATTTTTCTTACCATCTGGCCAATTTTCAAATACTGTTTGTGCAATATCACCAGCGCTATCAGATGGACTAAATAAAAATTCCTTTGTTTTTCCACTAACGAGAATAAGACGAAGATTTATCTAAAAGAAAAAAAAAAACAATTAATTAATAAAAAAAATTTAATTAATTTTAAATGATTTTAATTCAAATTTAATTTACGACGCAAATTAATATATTTTTATGTACACACATACATATATATTACTCGTATGTATGTATAAATCTTGTTATACAATTGAATAGATTAGAAAACAGTCGATAGATTTTTTTTACATAATTTTAATATTTCCTTACGAATTTCAAATTTTGTAAACAATTTTGCAAATTTTTTATAATTATAATTTAAAAAATGAATCAAAATTTTCTATAAAATTAATCAATGTAATGCTTTTATTTATCGAACTTCTGCTCTTTGCATAGTTATTACTTATTTCAGAAAACTTTACATCTCTGACAGCATTTTAAGTTCTTATAAATTAAAAGATGGCAGCTTTGTATAATTAAAATATATTGAGAGAGAAATTAATTTGCAAGCTCCAGGTAATTGTCTAGTAATTATCTAGTAATTTATGAAAAACTAAATTTTTCCTAAAACCTACTTACATATTACTTATAGAATTTCTCATCAAATAATATTAGAACAACGGAATGTAGAAAAAGGATACTAATTTTATTTAAAAAAAGGAAAAGGTCAAAAACAAATAAATAATTTCGAATTAAAAATTTATTATTTTGTAAGGAATTTTGTGTCGCGTACAATACAAAAAAAATATGTTTTTCAGGTTGATACGAATTTTGAATTATAATTGTTAAATTACAATATTCAGAATTGATTTTTTATTTATTTTTTGAACTAATAATTTATTGAAATGTAACACCATGGTAATTTGCTTATAGAATGATAGTAGTATGTAGTCGATTTCGTTATAAAATTGAAAATGAATTGATTGATGTGCCTTCAAAAGAGATTGATGGTATTTTGAAGTACGATTTATGAATTATAATTATTTGTAATATGGGACGTTGATGTATTCTATTAGAAATTAACACTAAAGCATAGGTAAAAATGTTATTTTATTTAAAGTAATTTATTCATTAATTTAAAATTTTACCTAAATTTTTTGAATATTAATAAATAAATAAGTAAGTACATTCTTAAATTTTTTAATGAAACTTTGTTCGCTACAATTATATAAGTAGTTATTTCTAGTTTCATCAGCAAATTGTTGGCACCAAAAATTTATAAGTACAACAGAAAAATTGAAAATAAGTGCATAATATGTAATTCTGAAAAATACCATGTAACAGTAACTTAGATTGTGATTTCGAACCACTTGTTTTTACTTTTTTATACACACATTAAATTTAAAATTTTTACTTGTAAATGAATTTTAAATTTTCATTAACATCAAATATCTCTAAAATGAATTCCACATTGGAAATAATAAATTAAAATTTAATTAAAAAAACAGATTGTGTCTTTTTATTTGTTGTTTTTTTTTCTTAGTTTTAGTTTTAAACGTCAGTCAAATGTCAAATGATTGCATTTGAACTAAGAATTATAAATAAGTATGACTTCTATTTTCAATAATAAATATGCATGTACACTTTTTCCATTGTTAAAGAGGGAAGTAGGTCATTTACATATGAACTGTATAACTATTCACATATACAAAACATATTTACACACATAATTGGTTATCGTTATTGCAATATATATACGTAAGTATATATGTCGATTCAATAACATTGTTTTGTGTTAAAGTTCAGACGACTGGCTAAAAAAAATTATGTCTCTTTCTGCATCTTTATGTTTTTTTTTTAATGCGCCAACAAGTAAACATGATTTTTTTGACAACGACAAAAGTAAGTTTTTATATACATATTTGCTGTTAAAATTATTTTACAATCTGTCAAAAAACAATTAAAACTTTTACGATTACTACAATAATTGGTAAATTTTTTTTCAAATATGCAATATAACTCATGGCAGAAGGTTTACCCCACTTTATCATGGGGGTAAACTATTAACTTTTAATATACATATTTGTAAAATATTCCTATTTATATAAAAACTTCTACGTGTACTTATTTATAAATATGAAAAAGTAAACATCTACATACATACATCCATGCATATCTAAAAATTATAAATAAAATTGTTGCAAATCATAATGATGAACAAATAACAAAAAAAAATCTGATGTGGTCAGCACATAACCGACCGCATTGTATATTGTCTAGTTAAGTGAAAGGGTTACAGAATATTATAAAAATGTCTTTTAAATACTTCCTTTCAATTTTTAGGACATTAGTAAGCTTATAGTTAACATACCTAGAAAAATGTAAATTTGGCTGTTAGTAGAGTTTCGCTTTGTGCTACCCGAATTCCCTGAAATGCTCGCCAGTTAACCAGAACTCAAATATTAAATTTCAAGAAATTCCATCAATTCGTTCCGTAGATATGGTGAAAAATGTAAAATCGGCCCGCAAATCAGTTTTCGAGCCCTGATCTTTCCAAAAAATTTATATGTTCACTGTTTTAATACGAGGAATTCATACATTAAATTTCAATGAAATCGGTCAATTATTTCCCTTTATATACGCAAAAATGTATATTTGGCCCGTAGTAAACGTCCAGTTGCTGATGCCTGATTTCTTGAAGTTGAAGCTTTCTGAAAGCTTATATATGAAATTTCAAGTAAATCGGTTGAATACTTTCTTCAAAATGTTCAAAACTGTAAAACAGGCCCGCTAAAAAGTGCAGTTCACGAGGCCTGATATATCCCAAAAGTTGATCAATCCGTGCCATGGTGGAAATAAACTTACATATAAAATTTCATCAAAATCGGTTCAGCAGAACTTGAGATACACGCGTGCACACACAGACCGACAGACCGACAGGTTGCTAAAAATAGTTTACTTACACTTCCCTACTATGGAGAAGTGCATTCCCACCGAAAACTCGATATGCAAAATTTGTTGCCATCACATAACCTACCTATTGTTTACACAATACGGTCGGTAAAAATCAAATAGCACATAACTTATTGAAGTATGGGTGAAAAATGAAAATTATATTGATTTTATTATTTTGCAGTTTCAATGCTTTTTTAAAATGTTATATTATTTAAAGTATAACAAAATCTTTTCCAATAATTAACATTAATTTCCGGCAAACCATCAACAAATTTTAATCATTAAATAAAACATCATGTAAACAATGAAGATGACGGTGTATTTTATTAAAAAATATTTCGTTTTACTGAAAACCCCTGTAAAAATATTGCAAATTTTTATGAATTCAAATGGTATTGTTAACACAATACATACAGGCGAACAATATTGCTGTATGTTTTATGCATGTCTGTAAAATATATTAATAAAACACTTGGAAAGGTTAAAAGTTAAATTACAAAATTTACTTAATTTGATTTTTTTAAATGTTCTTTATATTAGTAAATTTTTCAAAGAGCGAATAAATTAGTACTTAGTATGTAATTGTTAATTAATAAAAATGATATTTCTAAGAAAGTTGGATAAATCAATAAAACCTTTTAACCTGAAATTATTACAATAATGAATTTATGGAAAAATTGTTATATGCAGATTAATATTTCTTTCGAATTGAAAGTGATTGTCCAATCGCTTTAAATTAAAACTGTTTTTCGTCCACTTTTGAGTAAAATTGATTTTTTCACTCATCAGATTTTATTATCATGATCAGATATTTTTTTAATGATGTGAAAATCTCTGCCAAAGTTATAATAATTTTTTTTGAATCCAAATTTATTTAAGTTTTATATTTTCTTATAAAAAACGGGTTTTATACAATAGTTCGATTTCTATTCGTATATTTTGTCGTATATGTCAGAATTTCAAAAGACAGAATTTCAAAAGAAGTTTAAATCGCTTTTCTGAAAAGTATTTAAAATGTCGCTTAGAATACACTTTTCTGATAACTTTCGTACAGTATGAAGAATACTACAAAATAAAATCAATTTACTAAAACAACCGTATAAAAAATTTTTAGCTTGTAAAAAAAGTTGTTTATTTCATTTTAGTATTCTTCAGTAATTATGATTCTCGAAAATTAATTACTAATCAAATACATATCAAATTTTAAAGTTAATTGTGTGTGTATTCAAATGAGTATATATATATGTAGTGTAAATTTAAAGTTTTCGGATAATACTTAAGTACGAAGGTTTTAAGAAAGTGCCATAACGAAATTCATAAAAATACTTTTATCAAATATTTAAATTTATTTTTTTTAAAGGCGTACATGTATAACACATGTTTTTTTTAACCGGAATTTATTTAATTACTTTTCTAAAATAATATGTGAAGTTTAAATAAAATGAAATACCTAAAAAGAAGCGATACACAAAATATATATTCTATTTAAGTTGTTACTAAGAACCTTAACATTGGATAAGTATTTAACCTTAGCCTATAAAATTGCTCATTGAATATGTAAAACAATTGACAAAATTTGTTCCGTTTTTCAATGATTTACTTACTAATTAAATTATTGTAGAATAAAAAACTGACAAATTCTTTATTGATATTTAATCGTATTTTTTTTATTCTTGAATCTCACAGCACACACTTTCATCAATTTTTTAACCCTGAATTACAAAATTTTCGTAAAATAAAAATTTACAACTTATTTATGTCTAATAAATAATGTAATTAGGGTACCAAAAATCCTTGAAATCATCAGGTTTTTATATTTTGTAAGCATTTTTTTTTTTTGCAAAATTAAAGAAAAAAAATTGTATCCGCTTAACACAAAATCCGTTTGACCATATGCTGAGTTTTGTTGTCGGAAAATCATTTTTTTTTTTTTTGTGTTTTGTACAAACTTTTGTGGGAGTAAAATAAAAAATCCTTTGTAATTATAAAATTTGTCTAAATTTTCAATTTATTAAGTACTTACATATTTATATATATACATATGTATTTAAATTAGTTACATAAATTTTGTAGAAAAAAAGGTAAAGTGAAAAAACAGAATTGTTATATAGATTGCATGTTTTTTTTGTAGCATTAATTGACAGCTGTATTTTAATTTCGG